CTTTGTATTCTGATTACTGCATGTTCTAAAAACAGCCGTCTGTTGTTGACAGGTGTCCAGCTTAAGTGATGAAGTTCATCTGGCTGCCGACGGAGACTCTGTCATATCACGGCTGCTAGATCCGTCAATTCGTCGAAGAGGTGCACACCTCCCCAACGAAGATTCGTATCACTTCCCTGTAACCGCACGGCTAAAACAGTGCACCTTATGCTCGTATAGTACTCCTAATTCCGGTCATCTGCGCCGCCATATGTTACGGCACACCGGCGAAAAACCATTCGCTTGTCACTTATGCCACTATCGCTCCATCACCAAGCATAATCTCGAAACGCATATCAGATCACACACTGGCGAGAAGCCTTATGCTTGTAATTTTTGTTCCCATCGCGCCAGCCAGCGAAGTGACCTCAAACGCCACATGATAACTCATACGAGAGAACCACAATCTGCTTCCAAGTAAGGACTCCTATAATAAAATTGGTGTCCGCTCAATTAAAAAAAAAATGCTGAGCCTGGTACCACATCTGCTGGACGATAAATCTGTGCTCATCCTCGGCACACTTCGTCGTGGGAATTTTCAAGCAATACAATCTGAAATGAAGAAAATGTGTTTCGTAATGTAATACCGAAATTTATGCGCTCTATTTAATTTTCTGATTTATCAAGTGAACCATGGAAGAAAAAAGTGAGCGTTCATCGTGTGCAAGGAAATGGAAGTTTTCCCACAGTTAGCCGGTGTGGGTTACCGCCCCAATTAATCGTTCGTAAATTTAAGTTCCCCCAAAGGAGAGCATTTGTCTAACTCCTTATTTATTATTCACAGGCATCGAAAATCAAGCGGACGATGAATCCCCAAGTCACATCGATGCAAAGGTCATCGGGATTCCTCCAGTCGCGGGCTCTTTTTCTGCCTACAATGGATTCGATGTCCTCAGTTCAATCACAAGTTTCTCACACCCATGGGTCGCAGGCCGAGGCTGCTGGCCGTACCCCAGTAAAGTTCAAGTTCTGCCCTCTTTGCTCATATCGCAGCACGAAGCTGAGTCACGTCAAGCGTCATTTACTTTCTCACACTGGCGAGAAGCCTTTTGCTTGTCACCTCTGCGCCCACCGCTGCAACGACAGAGACAACCTTGCACGTCACGTTCTCACCCACGGCATCGATGCGCGGCATTCGTCCGAAACTCGATTTCAAGCCCCCCAGTGACGCCGCCTACATTAGTGATCTTAAAATCAAGACGTGGTGACTCGAGGATCTTACTTGCACATTGATTCCAAAAACACAAGTTCTGTGATCCTAACGCTTGAAAAAGCTCTGGAGTCCCTTCCCATTGACTCGAATAACTCCTTATATACGATCTTAATGTGGAATATTTATATCTTCGTTTACGTTTTTTATTTTAGTCTTGAGGACGGTAACATTTTTCGTCGCTATCTAAATTCTTTCTTCCTTTTACAAGTATTTTCACTTGCATACTGGAACGTTACATTGTTGATCGCCTGTCGACTTCAACGTCTGCATTTTTCCATGGAGTGGACGCATCTTGTTGTCTGGTTGGCTTAGACGGACTAGCATGAGAGCGCTTTTTAGTAAAGCCAGTTTCTTTCATATAACGGAATTGTTTATCGTTGACAGGTGTCCACCTCCACTGCACGGCTTGTCCAACCAAGTGAATCTGAAAGCAGCTTGGCCCATGATGATGTTCACCAAATGGAACTTTTGTCGACACTTTCATGGGCTGTTGGGGAAGCATCGGACGCGAGAGGCCAAGTGACTTCTTGGCTCACTGGGTCCGGCGGCAGAGAGAAGCAGTGCCCCGTATGTCCGTACAACACTCCATACGTGACGCAGTTCAAGCGCCACATGCTTTCTCACACTGGCGAGAAGCCTTTCGCATGTCATCTCTGTCCTCATCGTTGTAACGACAAAGCTAACCTCAGGAAACACATGCGGGCACACACTGGAGAGAAGCCCTTCAAATGTTCCTACTGTGATTACCGATCGAGTTATAAATGTAACCTAAAAGTACACATGGCGTCGCACATACGAAATCCTTCGGTGACCTGAACACGAAAACTTTTCGCCTGGTGCCATTCCGGGAGCTTTCAACTTTTCGAATCGTTATGACTTGAAGTCAGTCGCTGGGCATATTAATATGCAAACAAAACCTGAATGTTCGGAGAAATCCTCGTATAAAATTATTTTTCTTTGCTCTAAAATAAAATCATTGAAGATGATTTTATTGAATAATGCCATATATAATCTAGTGGTTGATCAACTATCTATTGTCGTGGAATTTTCAGTCAAGCTTATTCTCTTGTTGCAATTCTTTCGTATTTAATCTAAATATTTCGAGCTTTTTAATAAAATCTTCTAGGATTGGGCTTGATTGATTTTCTTGAAAAATTAGATTGAACTCGGAACTACTCATATGTTGCGTACGGTTGTCATCTGCATCTCGCCGTGTGCACTGAATCATTCTGGATGTAACGTAAACTTGAGATCAGATCAAGCCATAGTTGATCTTACTTTAAAATTGAAACTTGGGAGAGTTTCAATGATTTTGTTACAAGATTGAGGAGCTGTTGTTCTTGGGTTTATAGCCGTTATCAGCATCAATGTCTTGTTCTTGTCAAGGGGTAGTTAAATAATTTTCGTGCTGTTTTGCGTTTCGTGGCTGAAAGCGTGAAACATTGCGCTGCGTGACTCGTGTTTCCGTTACTAACTGCGTTCAAAGTTCGTAATTGTATGTAGCTTCCATGTGGTATTTGTTAACACTGCACGAAATACAACTTTGTACTCAGTTAAATTTCGACTTACATTGTTCGTTTAAATATTTTGGATCTCTTCTGTTGTTGCTGCAGTTATTTGGAGTAGATAGTCTAATTTATTATTTTATTTTTATGAGTAGGTGGGAGTAATTTTATTTGTAGAAGTATTTGTTTACTAATTGACTGAATTATATGCGTGGGGCCTGACGCAGCTACGATTGCTAAGACCTGCTCTTGTCGCGTGCAGGTGCGCAAGGAGGGGAAGTTAATAACGAACAGTTCATCTGCCCAGATGGCAGCGCAGAAAGTTAACAGTAACGCCACTCCAAAAGCCGATGCAGGTGCTGTGCAACGCGCTAAACAAAAGTTGCCACGTGCCATGGGTGGACGTCGCGAACGAATGAGAATTTTAAAGGTTCGGCAGTGTGGCATGTGCAACTACAGAACGCCGTACCCGTTCAACTTACGCCGCCACATGAGTATTCATGAGACCAAGGGCTCCCTTTCCTGTGAATTGTGCCCTTTTCGCACCATGAGTAAAGCCTTCCTCGAAATGCACAGACTCTCACATGCGAAGCGAGGATCATGCTATGCCTACAGTGCTCCTACAACCCATCAGAGCGCCGGCCCTAGGAATACGTCGACCACAAGTGTGAACAATTGATTCTTTGCTAACTTATCCATTACTGTCATCTAACACTGAAATGATAAAATCAGACTCAATCACGGTGTAAAAGTAAAAAGTTACGAATGAAGAAGAATTTCATCTTTGACACTAAGAAAAAAGTATTGATAAATTTTCGAAAAAGGAATTGGTAGTTTTCGAAAAACATTTTGAGTAATTCTCGATAAACGTACTGTCAAACTTTCATTTGATGTCGATTTAATTTATCGATTTGATCATGTCCAGAGTATTTTTCTGCGCGCATATCATGTGACTGGTTGCTCATGGATACTTTTAGTTTTTTTCCTCAAGAGCTGCTGTATTTACTTCCGTACTCCGATGTCCACTACTTGCGATCACGTGCGCTACCACGTGTTAGCTGTATTTACTATAACAGTTATAAGATGTCGTGATGTACGAACGTTTTCCCTAATTTTTTCCTCTGATTAAAAAACCGATTTAATATTACAAAATGGTAATACTCATAAGTGATTTGGAACACGCTTCGCGCTGTTGTATCTTATCTATGATTCTTGTTCGTATTTTTGAATTTTCTTGTCGTTCTCTGAGTTAAAAATGTTTGTTGATGATCATGGATTTTTCATTTCCTTCTCAATATATAAGGACGAGGAATTCACATGAAATACAGTATGAATCTCGTTGCTCTTTTTAGTCAAGTAACTCAACGTTTTGGACAAATTGTATGAACTGAAAATGTGGCATCTTAAATATTTGTGCGTTTGCGAACATAGAATCAGCGTCTTGTGACATACCGCTGCTGAATTTCTTGCCATCGATTATATTGCGTAAGTTTATGTATTTCATAGTCACGTTCGATGCTCTATTAAGCGAGGACGTTTTTTGGATCCATCTAACTGAAATTTTCAATGACTCATGACCACTGACGATGGAAATCTAATACGTTCACCGAGCTATCGGCTACCGCAACACTGTGGACTCTTAAGGCTATCGTGCGTACTGCTATATGCCCTGGAATCACTGTGGACATTAAAGCTTTCGTATTTCGTGGGCAGGTGGCGTCACCGCTCGAACCTCTACTCAACACGCCTGTACTAGAAGGCAACTCAGACTACTCTTCATTTGCTCGCAGCGACGGCGATGATAGAGAAAAGGAATGTTCGCTATGTTCGTACCGCACCAGCTTCTCGTCAAACCTGAGACAGCATTACATGACGCATTCAGGAGAGAGGCCGTACGCCTGCTCGTATTGTAGCTACAGATGTTCGAAGAAGAGCAACCTGCAGAAGCATCTGTTTATCCACACCGGCGAAAAACCTTTCAAGTGTTCCATTTGCGACTATCGAGCTCGTCAGAAGGTCTCTGTTCAGAGACACATTGCCACTAAACACACGTCTCACGCCGATATCTTAGAATCAGCTTGATCTTGGCCGCGATGAAATTTGCATCAAATGAATGTCGGAAAATAGCAAGTGGTCGAGTTGTATTGTAATTTTGAGGAATCTTAGGCAGTTGCAGCTAGTCACTGCTTAAATTCAATCACACGCGCGAAAATCTATTTACATAATCACTACGTATGTGGCCACGAATTCAGTCTTCGTATCTTTGGCTGAATGGGCGTGAGTGAGATTTAACGTTTTTCCCGCAACTTGTCTTTGGTCGTTTCTGAAAATCCTTTTCATATCATAGCTGTTTTGAAAAATGAAATGCTTTTTATCGCTCAAGAGCTAATTCGGTTGTCTGTTGCCGGCAGGTGGTTTCACAAGAAGGCTCTTTAGTGTCCTATCCTCCGATGCTCCAACAACTGAGCTATGGCGACTCCGACGTTGCTGTCAGTGCCGGCGGCACTTCTCTCTTGACGACGACCAACGCTATACATAGAGGCTCTTCGCGAAACCCGCTTCCACATTCGAGACGTCCCTGGATGAAGTACTGCAGGCTTTGTCCTTACAGCACTCCAATAGCGGGCAACCTTTCTCGTCATATGCTGTCGCATTCCAAAGAACGTCCATTTGCTTGCAGACTCTGTCCTTATCGCTGCAACCAAAAAGTCAACTTACAGCAGCACATGGTCATTCACACTGGCGAGAAGCCGTATAAATGTTCTTTCTGCGACTACAGGTCGTCTAGGAAAGCTACCATCCGTCATCATGAGGTTGCGATCCATCGTCTCAAGTGAAGTGAAGCGAATTCAAGTTGGGCCAAAACTGAAGTGTTATCACTAATAGAAAAACATTGGTTCTAGAATTAAGTTTACTTCGATTGGGCGAATTTCTCTCAAGTTTTACGGCTGTCATTTCAATCGAATTTTTTTGGAGAGAAGAATTCTAAGAAAATTGTCCACGACCGCACCTTTCATACAATAATTACGATTTTAGAAAGCTTCTGCAGAATTCTGCCAGTTTCATTGACTTCGAATTACGTGGATGTTCATTCGACTCGCATCATGCAATCGTAGGACTATGTTAAGCTCGCATGATGTTTACATCTTATAGTGAAGTTCATAACGTGGTCTGCTGAGACTGTTCTTCCTCTGTATTCTGACACAGTCTTGGTCTCTCTGCCTGCAGGTGGCGGCTCTGTCAGCCTGTTACAGCGCTCCTTCTTCCAGTTCCTCTTTGCTTTCCTGCCGCAAGATTTCTTTCCTCTCACTTTCCCCCATCTGCACTGGCAAACGGTCTTTCCGGCGCAATTTTTCTGATGACGAATCATCGCAGAACGTTTGTGAACGTTTTGAGACGACCAGCGGATCTGTTCAACACGCTATCAAGAAAATCTTTTCACAGTCATCTCGCCCGTTATCAGTGCAGCAGCTTGTAAAATCTGATGACGCTTCTTCTTCAACTTGTGAATTGCCTGGGCAGTTCCCCCTCAAAAGGCAAAATTCGTACCACGCGAGCGGAAGCAAATCTCCTGGCAAATGTGTAGGCGGCAATGTTCCTGGCTCTCTGCTCTCGTGCCCTCATTGCAAGTACAGCACCTTTCATCGTTCTGCAATGACGAGCCACACCCGAACTCACACAGGCGAAAAACCTTACGCTTGTTCGTTCTGTTCGTACCGCTCCAGCCAAAGTGGCAACCTTGCGACTCACTTGAAGACGCATACCGGCGAGAAGCCCTTTGCTTGCGATCAATGCTCGTACAGATCATCTCAGAGGATACATCTTGAGCGCCATATACTCACGCATAGGCCGTGAGCGTCTTCGATGGTTTCATCTACGCTTCTAAAGAGAATAACTACGTCGGAACGCTGATGTACTATTTCCATTGCAAAAACGGCCGATAACATTTATTACTTTATTTTGCGTAAGCTTCCTCGCGCTGTTCCATCTTTCAACCTGCAGTAATCTGCAAAGGAGATTTTTATCTTGAAACCATATTACGAATAAAAATCTTTCAATTGTAAAATAATTGTACCGGTGGGTTAAAACGTTCATATTTTTTCGATTTGTGTGATTTCTTCTTGGCTAAAACTATAATTCATTAGTAATTCATCGCCGAGATGCTCCTTAGCGTGGCTAATTTGGCACCATATGGCATCAAGATGATGTGTGTTTACGACCTTAAGACGAGTGATTGCGGGTGAACTTAAGAATTTGAGGTAATAAACTTGGGAAACAAATTTGAAAAGTCAGTAGACTTAAGGACAAACTCGATGTTTCTCCAATCGTAGCATAGTTTAAAAGAAGAGATTTGCTGTGTCGCTCTTCGGATGGAACGTCTCGTGTACTGTAATCTTAGTTTTTCATTATTGGAATTTAACTTGAAGTGATGTCATACTTTCCATTATACTTGTTAAATTACACGACAAGCGTCAAATCGCTGAAACAAATTTTGCGACGAGTACCTTGTTTTACGGATCTTGTATTATCACTAGTAAACATGCTGAAGTATTCTTGTTTTCTACTCACCCTGCATGTCTGAGGGCCTGCGAATTTGATTATTTGTCTGCGTCTGAGGTCGTTGAGCTGTCGAATAAGAGCCGATTGAAAATAACTTACCACAAACTCATTTAATATTCCTTACCTGCAAAGAAGATTATTTTCTGGCAGTATTGCAGCAGTTTTGACAAATTCCCCTTTATTTTCAGGCTGTGTGTAATGAGTTTCAATAGTCTTGCGTGACATTCCTTTTACGTTGCCTCTGAGAAAGTATTAAGGAGGCTTGCGCATGGATTATTAATTAGCAAGAAATGTGGCAATAACTCAAGTTACTTTTACGTGTTCCTGCAGGCATTGGATGGATTACTCGCCATTGGAGACATGGGTGCTGGAACTGCCTTGTCGAGTCCTGCAGTCGGCTCTCTGTTATCACATTCCAGCCGCAGTCCGTCCGATGCACTGGACCTAATTTGCAAATCTTCATTAACCGATCGCATTGTGGGGAAGACCAGCATCTCAACCAGCGATAACAGAACTAGAAACTCAACTCCACGGGCCAACGACAAAAATTTTACGGGACTCGCTACATCGGTGGATTGTTTACGGTCATTAGTTGAGCACACAAGTGCGGGACAGGTCGTCTCACAAGTATCCGTTTACTCATGTTCGCAATGTACGTACCATTGCCGAAACCTTAACAACATGCGCGCGCATCTCAGGACTCACACCGGCGAGAAGCCATTCGCGTGCTCCTTCTGCAGCTACAGAGCTGCGCAACGCTGCAATCTTTACACTCACAACAAGAAATATCACCACGAACATTTTTTTAAGCCATGAAGATAAAAAACAACATTCATGACAGTGTTTGTTGTTTTTACGCTTTGTTCGTAACATGCGTATTGTAACTAACACTGAATTTGCAATTAGGAGCTGATGATCTCTGATTTTCATATTTTATGGTTAGTAAACGTAGTAGTTTCCTCAAGCTATTATTAAGTGATGTCTCAAAATTATCTGCATTACACGAAATTAGCCTATGACTATGGTATTATTTTGGACTAGCTTTATTTGTTCAACCAACAGAATTATTTATTATAAAACCTAGTTTCGGAACTCTGCAAAGACGAATTTTTGCCGTACACTGGACTCGATCCCATCAGAAGCTGGATGTCTCTGGCTGGGGAGTTATTGTGCCTCTGTTAGTCGTTGCCTGCTATTGTAGTTGCCTGTTGAGCAATAGGTGCAGTGTCATACGTTTGATGAGCTCTCGCCTCTTCTTTACAGATGACAACCGCAAACACTGCACCACAACATCGTTATGGCAATCTCATCAGCTCCTCCAGCTATGATCCATTCAACTCGTCATCTTGTGCACCCTTGAGTGCAGCAACGACTGAGGCTAGCCAGGACGCGTCGACAAATTATTCTTGCCTTCATTGCCAGTACAGAAGCACTTCTCGTTCAGACCTTGATGCACACATGGAAATGCACATACAATCCCGTCCTTTTGAGTGTCATTTCTGCTCCAGAAGGTTTGGTCAGAAGGTTACTCTGAAGCGACATCTACTCATACACACTGGAGAAAAGCCTTTTAAGTGTGATTTATGTCCCTACAACGCAAGGCTCAAGTTCCATCTGGTGAACCACGTCCGACGAATGCACGCTAATGTCCAACACTCTGGTTTATTATATAAATCGGCGCTCCAATAAATAAAGCTGTGCGTGAACATAAAATTGGTTGTGAACGAACCTGGTTGAAAAATCTTACGCTTATACGTGAAAAACTAGGTCTGGAAACAGCCATTAAAGAAAAGAGCATTGAAAATTTGTACATGAAAAAACCAAATGTATCTTGAAGTGAATAATTTCGTTAAGAGTGTAGAAAACTAATGAAGGAGGAGAACAATTTCCGTGAAATAGTAATTTTTTGCACTCGTGTTCTTAATCTAAGGAATGACATTAAATGAAGACAGGACTTAAAATAAAGTCGCTTGTTCTGTGCAGATGTTCTGTGAAGGATGGAGGACTGAGTCGACTGATTCTCTCACAAGTTTACGAACTCAGAGCGGTCCGTCTCAGAAAAATTCGAGAATAAGCTCCGCCGCTGTCGACGATTGGTTTCAACAGCCCTACGGTGAAGCTTCCAACCCCGTCGAACAACCGACACTTGGTAGCGGTCCTCGGCAGCTCTTCGACGCGCAGACCTTGAAGTGCCATGTTTGCGGTCACGTCGGCGAGACGCTGGAACTCGTGAAGCAGCACTGTGCTCAACACAAGTCAGAACTATGCAGCTTCTGTTCCATCTGCAGCAGATCCTTCAGTGGCAAAGGCGCGCTGAAAAGGCATATCCTCACTCACATGGGTGTCAAGCCATACGAGTGTCGGGAGTGTGGATACAAAACCTGTCATCGCTTCAATCTCGTGCGCCACCAGAAGTCTCACCACCTCGAAGCATAACACAATAATGCGGACACCTACCATGCACTGCGAGTTGTTAGTCAATCATTCCCCACTGTACGCGATGATGGGTGTAGTTTAATGTTACTTAATGCGTAACATTCAAATGACTGTGTATTTGATTCTGCCGCGTAGATTGCACACTTTGATTAAAATAACCGAATGCTCATTTGACTTGGAAGGCACTGCTGTAATTTGTATCGCTTACTGGAATCTTGTAAAGAAGTCGTTTGATGTCTCGTCCTGTTTTGGTTCGACACGCACGAAAAATGTTGAAATCTTCATGAAACTTGTAGTATTAACTTATAGACCTTCCTTTCGGATCGAAGAATGTAAATCCGTTTGTTAGGAACATTTTACGAGGTCGATATTAAAAGTTTCTGATCTTTCAGACCATCGCTTCTTCATTAACATACAACACACGAGAATGAGTTAATTAAAGACCTACTGCACCAAACGTTGCCTAAATCGCTGCTGCTCTCCCACAGATCGTAACTTCTTGGACCGCCCCGTCTGTTGATGGATCTACTGGTGGTGGCTGCCAGATCCACAAATGTTGCTTCTGTGCGTACACATCCCGGCATCGAATCAACGTCGAAAACCACATCCGCACTCACACCGGAGAGCGTCCTTTCAAGTGCCACTTGTGCTCGGCCGGCTTCTCGCAGAGGAGCAACTTGAAGCGGCACATCAGGACGCACGGTCTTAGCAAGGACTGCCTGCTTTTGCAGAGCCAAGAAGATGCTCGCTTGCTTGGTACTGCTCCTCTCGATGTATCTCAGAACAACTCTGTGGCTGCCAACGTTTCTTTATGGCAACCCGCACATAGCGATCGACACTGACCATCTTGAACGAGACGCCAAGTAATAAAATTGATGCAATCCAAATGGAAAATTTGTGGAGCTCATATTAAAGGAATGTGCGTTGTTAATGATGCGAGAACTCAGTTGAAAGCAGCAGGCCCGCTATTAACAACTGAGATCTCTACTCGCTTAAGTTTCAGATTCGAGCAAGCTAAACGGACGAGCATTCATCGATGCTTTTGGGGGTCATGTTTGTTGGTAACCGCATGCGTGTGCTCAAACAATAGGAATGATGAAGTAGCAATATTAAAGATGGTCTTCATGAGCTCCGTTTTTGCCGTCAGGTGGCGGATCACGTTACGTTGGAGCGCACAGAAGACTTGGCGAGTCTTCTACCCTCGTCAAACTTGATCCAGGGCCCCAGCGGTGCTGTTTTCGGTGACCAAGCTGCATTGGGATTGGCCTATGGAGCCTCATCACCCATGAAGACCATGGCCCTTGCAGCACACGACGTGAACCTAAGAACAAACCTTGCTGGCACGGTCCTGAGGTGCAAGTATTGTTCCTACTCTACTGCGGTCTGGGCGAACCTCTCCAAGCATATGGAGACGCACAACTCCATGAGGCGGTTCGCTTGCGATCAATGTCCTTACCGAAGCTCACAAAAAGTCAATCTACAGCGGCACAAACTAATTCACTCCGGAGACAAGCCCTTCGCTTGTCCTTACTGTCCTCAAAGAGCTAGGCAGAAAATTCACATAGATAAGCACATTGCCGTTGCGCACAGCCAGCTTAAATTGGACGAAAGTAATATTTCTGTCGCGCAATAAATGTTTTGTAAAGATAGTGCATCTTTGATTTATCTATTTTAGTGATCATCGCTGCCTTGTTTTGTAAATCATCAGTAGTTATCATTTATGCTGGTGTTATGAATACGTTGTATGCAGTTTAGCTTTTTCCACGTTTTTAAGCGTGCTGTTTTTAGCGCATTTTCTCATATATGGAAAAAAATGCACTATTGTGCTCGCCATGTCCGTCCGTCCGTCTGTCTGTCCGACCGTTACTTCACGTTTTCGTCGACGAGAAAATGCACTCTCTGTCACTCACTGCAATGAGTACTGAGTTATATTTTTTCCATAATGTTTATTCCTAATATCTTGGACAAAGGAATAATTAAATGAGTTTTAATGCGCTAACTTTATTTTTTGATTATTTATTACCAACTTCATTCTAACTTTGAGATTAGTTACATCAATTTTAACTTTGATTGGAATATTACTCAATTGCTCTAATGCGTTAAATAATCAGACGATGATACGATTAGAAAACATCAGCTTGGCATTCGTACGGAAATTCGATCAGCATTATTTTACTGCGAATGGAAAGCCATGTCTGTTACTATTCATGATGTGATGATAAAGGTGTAAATACACACATTACTGAAACTTGAGTTTGATTTATTCCTAAATCGATTTCGTAAGCTTGATGAAATAATCCCATGATTTCGATCATTCTGTTTGTATCGACGTAAAGTTTTTGCTTGATCGGAAACACGTTTGAGAAATTAGAAGCATACGAATTTTATTATCTTGACGCACGTTCATGAAGGATTCGATAAACCTTCACAGTGTCCGATTGAGGAGAAGGAAGTACTACCGTGGGCCGCCACCAAGACTGACAGGTAACCTATCCATTATTGAGACTACGAAAGCATGTCTGTGAATAAATTTTCGTTGGTGCTTTCTTGTTCATTTTATTTGCGTTTTTGCACTTTAATGATCATGTCCTGATTAACTTCCTCGTATTGGACAGTGGACACCTTTTAGTTATTTTATTGCTAAGTCTGCGTTTATTTCCTGGAAAGTTTTGTATTTTTTTTTTACATACAGAAGATTCCAGACTAAATAGGCTGATTTGCTTTCGTCTTCAGGGATCGGCGGTTGAAAGGCGTTACTTGCAGCATGGCATCCTTGGAGAAGCTGGTCATGAATCTGAGGTCGACGTAGAAAGACTGAAGACGCACGCCTGTCACCTCTGCTCCTACAGATCGCGACAGAAAGTTCACCTCGAAAATCACTTGCGCACCCACACGGGAGAAAAACCTTTCGCGTGCCATAAATGCCAGTTCAAGTTTTCACAGCGCGGAAATTTGCAACGTCACATGAAGACACACGAACGATCACCTAACAAGCTGATATCTTGCACCGTATGCGGTCTAAACTTCAGTCATCCTTCAAATCTCGAGCGCCACATGACAGTCCACAACAAGCTCGTGTACCCCTGCCCATACTGTGCGCACAAGACCGCCTTGCAAGCCGACCTCCTCGCGCATGTCCAAACCAAACATCCTGACTTGCCCTCACTTGTGCACCTCAGGCTCTCATCTCAGTAACGAGTTCCCTTTGCACTGTGGTTTTCTGGATAACATGGATTATGCGGAAATTGGTAATCTCAATGCCTATGTGCAATATCTTTCTAGTCTCCGAAGTGCAATGGAAAAACTTCCAAAAGTATCTGTTTAAAACATTTTGTAGGTATAGGTGGAGTGTTACAATCGATGATTCTTCTACAACATTCTAATTCAGTATGTGAAACAAGACGATATACTATCTTTCTGTACTGCCAGACGTTCTTTGTTGTTGTAATGTCAGATCCCTAGTGTTAGTCATTTGCATAAACGACGCTTTCGAACTGACTACTAAGGCTATTGGGACGGTGACTCCAGCATCCCTCTTGCAAAAATTTCTGTGAAATTTTTTTGAAACCTTCGATAGACACTGAGCAGCGGTAGCACATTTCTTGTTTCTGGTCGCAGATATTATAGAATTGTTTTACTCATGGATTGCAAGTGACTATACCTTATCTGTCTGCAGACTGTGGGCATCATGGCGCAACCTCATCTGGTGTCATCCGATCCTCTGCTGTCTCTATGCCAGTCCATCGATGAGCTCGCACCGACCTCCCTCAACCCAACCACATTTGCTGGCTTGTCCTCGCGGTCAAATTCTACTCAACGTTCGTCACTAAAGTCCACTACTATTGCCTCTACTTCACAGGCTAGCCAGTCGTATCTCAATGACGCTTCGTACTCTCGACATAGAAAAACTTTCTCTTCATACGACCTTTCAAGCTTCTCACTAAACAAAACATTTGGTTCCTTGGCCTTTACTTACCAATCATCCTTGGAGGGTCGAGGAGGTGCGCCTAAAACGCTGCACCAATGTCCTCATTGTCCATACCAGTCACCGAAGCGGCAGCATCTTGAGTATCACATCAGGCGGCACACTGGCGAGAAGCCCCATGCTTGTCCCCACTGCACCTACCGAGCGGCCCACGAGAGCAACATGCGACGTCACGTCACTCTGCATCACAGGTGAAATAAAGCAGCAGTCTGCATTAGATGACCAAAATCGAACACTCAGCATCACAGATGACAAAAAAAAGTACTCTCAGCATGACATGCAATGACAAGAAAGTATCCTTTGTCACACTCGACGATGCACAGTTCATAATAGTGACAAAAATATTTCTCTCAACATCAGACATTACTATATCAAGGCACCCCACATCGCTGGCGATGAACACGATATACTTAGCACCACAGCGACGAAAACTATATACTTTGCCTCACAGTAACGATGAAAAGGAACTTTGCATCACGTGGCGGTAACAATGCCAGAGCAATGGGTGACAGAGGTGACGAAACCCTTGCCCTCGGCATCATAGACGCATTGTATTAGAGGTGACCGGAAAATCCACAAGTGTTCATCGCATGGCAGTGATCGCTCGGCGTCTATGAAATTTAGAGATAACTTCTTTATATGTATGCCGGTTTCGCATCGTCATGCTATCAATTTAAAGATGTTGTTGGGAGAAATCACTCGGATAGAAACTGCCTAAATAGAATTAGGGGGAGGGAGATTTATGAACTACTACTTGTTTCCCCAAGTGAGTCAGTATGAACACAATAAAGAGTATTCTGCGTTGCAGTCACGCTCTGAATCAGCGTAAGTATTAAAAGTAGGCGACTTCTGGGCAGCCAATGCCATTATTTTCGTCGTTAGACTTCTCTCGACAGTACGATTGTAATTAAAAATGTGGTGGAATAATGCCTTATCAATCAGACTGTTAGTCAGCTCACTTGAATGCAGGTTTCGTGGTTTTCCAATGACTTATGGGTTTTATAACAATGTAAGTAATCGAAGTTATAAGGATTTTGCATGTGTGTAGCATCTTTACCGGTCAGTGTTACGGCATTTATTGAGGATTCTATATCACATTTTAATTACAATAAACCAATGTTTTCTAATAATTTGTTTCCATAAATATTCCGTTAGAAAGTTTCTGAAATGCGGAAAAGTAATTAGTCATTACTGGTGGAAACTAACTGTGTGAAACTGAAACCAGCTTGTTTTATAAGTCAGAAGATCATCACAACAATCGTAGCTCTCTTGCGTGCTGAAATCTCATTTTAACCTTTTAAGCTGGCATCTAAATGCGGATGATACCGATGCCAAAAACTTTTGACCCCAACACTTTTAGCTGCAGTTGGAGCAGAAATTTTTTACAAAACTTCCCGTCGTCATTGAGACCTTCGTTTTGTTCATGATCATCTAGTTTTTAAATTCTTATGAATGTGGCTTCCCGGTGATCATTAAAATTTATCTTAGAAAATTCTTTGTGAAAGATAACATTGCGGAATTTTTCAGAGCGTCTTCTCCCGGAGGATTCATGGCGACGCCTTCGTCCAGCCAAACTTCCTCGGAAGACGCGACGACCTCAGCCGCGACCAACCCAGCAGCAACGAGCTCCTTAGCGGCGCCGCTACCCACGTGACCGAACCTCTCGTCGGCCGACATGCGTTTGTGGGCGAGGATTCCGTGATGCTCACGTGCTCCTTCTGTTCCTACACCACAAGAAACAAGTACCACTTGAGATATCACACGCGCACTCATACGGGGGACAAGCCATTCCAGTGTCCTCACTGCAGTCACCGGGCTTCCCATCAGAGCAACCTGAAGAGACATATCATCACTCACTTCAACCAGAGTTAGGCTTGGGTTAGAAAATTCAGTTTCAATTGTGAATCGGTGAATTTATGAATCTCAATGTACACTACAATCTATCTTTAAAATACCTTGTACTCGAACACGCAGATCATGTTATGGTATTGGACTAGAGCTACATCGGAGCTAGGAACTGATCGCTACCTGACACCTAGTTACCTAGAACTGATACCTAGTTCTGAGCAGCTATGTCCCAATGGTATAACAGTTTCTCTCGTGTGTCATGTTATCGTGTGAATTTCGCGGTACGTAGTTTTTGTACAGTCAGCAGTATTAAGTAGAACAATTTTGTCTTATCGTTGATCATTTGTTATTAAGAGATGTAACTTCCCATATCGCAGCCAAATGCTTTGATGGAGTCAAGCCGTAAGTTTTGGTGCAACTTAGAATACAAGACCTACTTCGAGAATATCCATACTACGAACCTGAATACATACGTTAATTTCAACGTTCTGCAAGGGTGAACTGACAAATCTTTGATGCTATTATTTAAATAATTTTAACAGGCTTGATAAAACTTTTATAAACTAAGTAGACCATAAACTTCACTATAACTATAAAAAATAAGCAATTACTCATGCAATAGTCATGCGCCAACCTTATAAAGTTTTTTCATAACCTCGTTACGTTTAAATAATTGCTTAATGCAGCATCAGACGAAATGAAGTAACGAAGATTTATCAAGTCTTGTTCTCTGATGTCGATCCGTACCTTATTTTAGTAGTGTACCATATTGATAAAATTACATAATATAACTGTTCACCAATTCGAAGACGGGATGCGTAATTCATCAGTTCACCAATGCTGAGACTCCTGCATTATTAAACAGTTAACCTCGCTATGAAGTTCGTCAGTTCATTTACGCTGAGATTTCTGCATTCAACAGTTAACCTCGCTAAGAAGTTCAACAGTTCATTCACGCTGAGACTTTCTACATTATTCAACAGTTAACCACGCTATGACTTACTGCAATTCTCAACAGTTGACTCACTGCATTATTCATCAAATAATCTAAGTCAATACGAGTTTCATTACCGATACATGATTCTTTCCTGTTATATGTACGATACTATCATGTATATTTGTATTTTTAGCTTTGTACTATAGGAACGGCTTTCGAGCAAAGTAAAATATACGTTACAACAATTCGTGGACTGCCGTGCTGTCTAGTCCTCAGTGCAGATTTACAATCTTCTGGTTCCTTTTCCTTTTTTTTTGCTAGCGTTTATAACTTTATATATAGGGCAATTCAATTGTTTTCTGAGCGGTTGTTCCAATATATATTTTTTAATTGTGATTTTTTTACTATTTTCTGTTCGGTAGCAGTGGCTCTGGAACTTGTGATTGGTAATATTTTTTGAGCGTCAATGCGGGAGTAGTTTCAGCTTAACTTTATTTTTGTTCTTCGAAGGGCCCACTGTTTATTGTTTAAATTAAATTAAATTCCGGAAAATTCTTGTGCAAAATTTCTGACTCAACGTTCAGTTCGTTGAAACGACTTCAAAGATCCTTTTTATAACCAGTAGAGAACTGATTATCTAGAACAGGATGTATCTTCTTACTTTTTGTTCGCCATCTCCTGATGGTTCTGAAATTGTTCTTGCTGTTTTGTGGACATTCTATCAATAAACTTGTGTCGAAACATTGTATTTCTTATTTTAACGTTCTGAAGAACCTTTGTGCGTTGAATTACATATCTGGCCTGAATGTGGAAATACTTATTTATTAATTCAACAATGTACTCTAGTATTCATTGTGTATCCATCAATCAAAATTTGAGTAACAGAGTTCCCAATTTTTTTTTTTTTTTTTGACAGAGTCAAATTTTGGACTTGGGTCTGCTTGAAAAAACTCGGAACGCAGCCTCAGGAGCGCTGCAAGCGTCCGGTCTGTGGCCGAATGTCGCGGAAGTTGATGCGTCTGCGATGCCGCAGGACCTTGCGTCGCTGTCTCCGTTCAAGGCTAAGCTTTTATCGTGTCATCTGTGCCCCTACCAAACCCACGTTAGCACCAACTTTCGGGTGCACATGAGGAAGCACACTGGCGAGAAGCCTTTTGAATGTCCTCACTGCCCCCACCGCTCTTCACACCTCACTAACATGCGGCGGCATGTACAGACTCATCTCAAGAACTCATCATAATTGCGGGCTCGTAGAACTTGTTATTCTCATTAGCTAGGTTCAGCCTGTGCTGTTGTATTTTTGTAAGTAAATGAGCAACATTCTGTTGTAAGTAAATGACTTTGTTGTAAGTAAATGATGAGAATTTTACGGTTGTTTTGGTCATTGCGAAGACATTTATTCCCCCATTTGAAAAGTTTTTCCATTGTGAATACCGTCATTTGGAAGCGATATCGAATCGAATTAAAATTCATTGAAGCAAATGAATCGCTTCAAACAGTTCGTCCATGTCTGGTGACAAACTATCAAATGTCTGTAGCACTTTTTTTATTATAACCTGCTAAACCGAAGAATTTCAGACACTTCCTACTTGTAATAAAAAAATCATGAAAACTCAACCGATTATCTCGCCCATTGTATGACGTTCGCGAGACTACAGAAACGTGTGCATCTTGGGGACAGTCCAAAGAAAATTTTCCCAATTCATTTGACACAAGGATTCGTGAGTGACCGCAACGCTTATCTCGATCCATTAGCAGTTGATTCATAAACTACTCGTGGTCGCAGTTCTACGTGGATGTCACTACAATCGAGCTTTAAAGGTTCGCTAATGGAAGTTGTGAAGCTTTTTTTTTGTTCTTACTTAACCTTATTCCTGTCCAATATGTGATAGTACGTTTCGAAAATCCAGTTTGCTTTGTTTTCTGTGCTTTAAATAATTGAAAGTTTATGAATTAATTTTTTATGCATGAGAAATTATGCTTCCACAGCTTGGTAACCCATAATTCGTTGTTTAACTTTTTTCTTGTATCGGCAGGTATTGTTCCGGAACGCCTCTCGTGGATCAACCGCGTGGTCATCACCATCACTGCAGAACTCCGTGTCAGAGGGGCGATCTGTACATAGAAATGATTTTACCAAAAACATCACGTCACGCTCAATAATTGCTGCTAAAGTCTCTGACATATCAACGTCCAATGAATCTCGTCTGAAGCGTTACCACTGCCCATACTGCGAATACTCTTCGTACGTCAAGACAAACTATAAGACTCACATTAGAGTTCACACTGGAGAGAAGCCGTTCTCTTGCTCCATCTGCCCCTACAAGTCTGCACAGAAAAGTCATCTGAATCGTCATATGCTAACCCACGCAACATCTCATCTCAATGCTCGGAGTATACCGCCCGTGCCTCCTGCATCCCTCTAAGGTGGATCTGGTGTGTCGAGAGGCATTTACTTTACTTGAATTGTTGGTGCTTGTAATGTACTAATTCATTCGTCCCAGCAATAACTGGGTGGAAATTAGCATATGAAACTCACTCGGTTTCTTAAATTCAAGTCGCGGTAAAATTGGTGTGAAACGCTTAAAAGAAGAGAATAAGTACAGTCCGATTCCCGCTAATGTTGTAGTTTCAGCCGAAATATAAAATTCACTCGTGCATGGAACTCCGATTCGCTTCACGTGGCGAGCATAGCTACCTCTCCGATTTATTTTAATGCAAGTTGACTGCCAAAATTTTAAAATTCTTAGGTTGGCTGAGTTGAAATTATAAAAATATTGCCAATTATCCTTGCTGGCATTTGGAAGAAGGGGAGGATGTTTCTTGTGACGGAAATTTTGGGTGCGTCTTCCTGGAGTACCTTGGCTGCGAACGCTTTACCACAATGGTCCATTATTTGAATAGCTTTGTGATTCCTGTTAACAATTTCGCCGTACTTCCACATAATAAATTGAAAGAACTTTCTTGTAATGCTTTCGCATGCTAAATAATATGAGTATTTTTTATGCCCAACTGTAGCCGAGATTTACATGAATAGTCACTGCCTGCACTGTGTCGCACCCTCGGCACCTGTCAGCATGGCGCTTTGATCCAGTTCACATTTTAAGAATTCGCACCAGTATGACGAAATGTAGTTGTATATATCTGTCAAACTGTCAAAGTATTTGTTCAGGTTATAAAAAAATTATTCCATATCATTTAAATATGCGAATGATTGCATTAGAAAGATTGTCGTTATTCACAACGTTTAATGAATCTCTCTATGTTCCGCAGGTGCCTAATGACGACAAAGCACATGTAACCGCACAAGAAAGAAGCTTCCTATATTGGCCTCCTCGTGGCAGTCTCCAGATTATGCCCGTCCGCTCAACGAACGACAACGCATTCACTTCAAAATCTGAATTGACCAACCGCAATCCATCGAACCTCACAAACGATATTAACTTGGACATCCTCCAAATGTTTAGCCCGTCTGCACCCTATGAGGGAAGCGTACGAGAGCCTAAGAAAATGCTTAGCTGTTCTTACTGTTCGTACAAAACTTCCGTCAAAACTAACCTTCGTGTACACGAGCGCACACATACTGGGGAAAAACCGTACACGTGTCCTCATTGTGACTACCGTTCATGCCAGGCATCAAACCTCAAAAGCCACCTCATTCGACACGCAACGGATGTAATTAACGGACCTCCACAGTAATCGCGCTGTTGCTCTTTGTTACATGGATAGGTTAGTGTACATTACGGAGTTGGTTAGAATTGGAACGCAAGAAGCAGAACCATCGGAGTATTTTGGCACAGCATCGATAAGGATCAAGCAGTTACAAAAACTCAATTTTAATGATCAATCTGTGCGTTTAATTAACGACATCCTAATTGTTTATTTTTTCCGTTATTCAATAATGATTCAATACTTAGTGAACCTAAGTCATTGAAAAACATGGCGTTAGTTACTACAGTGCCTCTTGCATTTCAATATCTGCCAAAATATGCGTCGCAACGGCATCATAAAAGTATCCCAATTAATTTTTCAAGTCGTCGATAAAACTAGTATGTATGTTGCAGGAATTTTTTTGTGGAAAGGTCGCGTATCACGTTTTAGTGACGATTCTGTTCATTTCAAAAGAGAAGTTAAACCTGTTGAAGTTTTTTTTTTTTAACTTCCTGACGAATTGAATTGAATGTCGTTCATTTCTTAAGAAAGACGCTTGTCTTAAATGGACAGATCACGATACATGCCATTGATTCTAGTTAATTTTTGTTAACCGTGTTAAGGTATGGATAAGCTCTTCGTCTGCACTCTGTCTAAATCGGAAATTCTTATATGATATTTTATGTTCTCGACTTTGGTAGAAACTGTCTTGTATTGCTGCTCGTTACAATAAAAGGATTTTTCAATTACATTACTCGTTTTCTTGCGTGAATTATGGTTAAATTGGTTTTAGTCTGTGTTTCTGTAGGATTACAGTATTAGCATGTAATCATTATTTTTGGATGATGAAAAAGCATTATTAAAACTGTATTTCTAATTAACGGCTATCTTGCCGGTCGCAGACAAGTACAGGAAACAAACTCCTCTGCCCCAAAAATGATCAGTATAATAGGCCGGCTGTGGCTTCTCTGTTGCAGATTCCATGGGACGAACCTGTCAACTCCGACGTGATGCCCGGCAGTGGCGCTGATGCTGCGGGAAGGCGCTCATGGCGGCCTGTTGGGCGCCCCAGGAGTAATTTTCTGAAGAGCCCGAATGTTAAGAAATACGCTTGCTTATCTTGTACCTACACAACGTCCCTGAGAAGTCATTACGTTCTCCATTTACGTACACATAGTGGAGAGAGACCTTACCAATGTCATGTTTGTTCGTACAAATCATCTCAAAAAGCAAATTTAAAAAGGCACATGCTGATGCATGGAAATGTATTTGCCAATGCCACGTAATATGAATTACATGTAGTAGAGGGCCTTGAATATAGAACACAACTTAGGTTAATTTCTTCGCTAGCGTTGGTTCCATCGAATTCAGTAGGACACATTTATTTCGTTGCGATTTTTCTCCTATATATCGCCAGGCTCAATTTTTTCCACTTCATCGTCTCCTGATATTGATTTTCTATTTTTGTCAGCTCCAAGAGATCCTGTTAATAATTAATTTTTACGTTTTCGCTGTCGATTAGATGAACTAGACTAGAAAGTTTAAAACGTGTAACTGAAAATTTTATAAACTTCATGCACTCTTAAATGATCGAAGTAAAATAAATATTCGTCAGCGAAGTTTTAAAATGGTAATCACACTAACCGTACAAAAGCGTACCCGCTGAAGTTCAATTCATGGCATTTCAATTCTTGTCATCTCCATTATGCTGGGAAAATCAGGTAAAACACCAAACCATAAATGGTACCAGGTGAGCCAGTAATAAACTAAAATACTAAAATAAAGACGGGATGACGTGAACTTTGAAAGCAAAGGGCCGATATATATTCAAGAATTATTTAGGGGACGGAAACTCCGTATTAAATTCGATTTCCGGCACATGAGCCATTTGACTGTACTGTGAAAATCACTAGAAAAAAATTAGCAACGATTCTATGTCTCAAAGATTCGTAAATAATTTTCAACATGCTATTTGTATACGCAATTGTTGAGTCACATTTTATGAAATATTCTGTATTAAATGAAATTGAGGAAAAGGAATTGTCAATGTCAATTTTATGTAGAAACAACCATACCAGGCATTCTTGATGGATACGACGCCATTCTGAGATGCTTGGCGTGGGTACGTTTCAGCGACGCAGGCAGCCAGGCACATTAACTTCATTATTGATTTCTAATCTGACAGATCGCGTGCCAATGTATGGCCAGTTATGAGGCTCCAGGCTGGACCAGGCATATGGTTGTGTAGAACAAATTATTTCATTCCTATTGAAGAATTTATCATGCACGTGAACCAGAAATTACATCTTACATGAAATTTTACACAATGTGCTTTCAGTAACCTAACCATTAAGTTAGTATCAACCACAATCTTTCCTTACTAAGTAGGTAAATGTATTAGCGCTAACTTCCAGCATGGAATTACAAGTGCAATAGGCAGACTGACCTAATTAATGTTTGGACAAATGAGTGTTTATGTAAGCAACATAGGCTAATAGTGAGTTTTAGCTAGTGACTAATACCTACATCAATTCAAATGAGTCTGAGCTAGTCAAGTTCCATCCATGATCCATTTGATACACTTTGACAATTTGATAGGTAGGTACACAATGAAAAATGAAAATGGTGGACACAAAATCACAATTCACAATCACAAATAACACAATATTTGACAAGAAACAATTAAACATGGAAGCGACTCAAGCGGTTATTCAATCATCAATCCAATGAAGTGGCAATGCTGACTTTTTATACCTTTTGTGAATCCTAGAGCATAATTAAAATTTAAACCAATAGATTATAGAGTGTTAGCCTAATGCCTATGCCTATGGATACCAGTATTGTCATAGGCTAGCCTTCTTATAAATTTGAAACAATTTTGATGTTTTAAATATAGGTATTTTGAAATTCAAAAATGGAGTGGTTTTGATGAAATTTAATTTTTGTCACTACTAGCCAGTTGGCAGTTGCCACTAGGCACTAGGCTAGCCCACTACTCACTAGCTACTTCACTAGTGACTATTCACCAATATGAACTAAACTTGAATGAAATACCTAATAATGTCTCGTGGCATGATGGCAGACTCTGAGACTCATGCTAGGCCTAGCTACCTACTTTACAAAGCAGAGTTTACTGTTTACTATTGTGAGTTTGTGACACTGTGACACATAGTGACCACTGACAAACCAGTGATTTTTTAGAATCAGTTTATTTTCTATTTTCTCATTTACTCAAGATTTAAAGTTTAAACTAATATCGTATGTAATCATGCTGGTATCCACAATACTTTGCTGGGCTATGTATAGGAGTTAAATAATGGCATTCTAAATGCCTTCTCAACTTGCAAGCTCTCAAGAACCATGTACCTATGTAATTAGGCGCAGTGGCCAAAAATGGGAGGGGGATGGTTGCGCTGGTCCCACTATGTGGCATGCATTGTCTCTCTTTGGATCTCAATATTTTATCACTAGATGGCCAAGACCTAGTGTTTTTGCAGTATTTCGACACGCAAATGTATGACGTCACCATTTCAACCATCAATGAACGCATGGAACTAAAAGCTTAATATAAAGGAAAAACTAGAGAAGTGACGGAATTTCCTACAATGTCGGAATATACCGCGTTTACCCTACAATAGGAGCGTCAGAGTGACCAACCAAATTTTTTTAGAATCGGTTCATTTTTAATTTCCTCATGGGCCATGGCTCATTTACTCAAGATTTAAACCACTTTCTTATGTATGATAATGCTGGTATGACCGTATGAGTGGTATCCAGCCTCCAGGATACTTTGCTGGTCTACTTATTCTTATAGGACTCGAAAATGAACTTGAGGGAGAGTCTAAAAAACTCTCTGCTTTGCCACTATCAGGAGCAGGACAAGCGTGCACTCCAATTATCCAATACATGCAAGCAGGCTGGCACTATAGGTACCTGGCAACAGCCAGGGTGCAGAAAGTGGGTCTGTGGGTGAATATCAAAAGATCTTTGGTGAGGCATGATCACGCATCAGCAGCAAAATTTACGCCCTCTGAAGATCTTGTGTTCTTGCTCACATATTGACTGAAATTATTGCTTATGAGAAATAACTTCAAAATTACTGGAAATCTGAAAGACTGCAAGTGCACACGCCACACAGTAAGGTTTCTGGTACGCCAGAAGGATCAGGATGCAGTGAATTGAACTAACAAGAGAGAAATAGTTGAGAAATAACACATGAGAAATAGTTGAGTGAAGCTTGTCTGGAAATCAGTTGCATTGTGTGTAAGTGTTGCCATGTGTGGTTGTGTATAAGTGTTGTCCTGCTCCTAGTGTTCCACCATGCATAATTCCCTAGAGTCCCCTCAGGGGGGACTTCTGATGTGTGTCTGTGCTTGTTAGAAGTCCTATGGGATTTAGTGCTCCTAGAGTAGGGGGATTATTTCTGAGTGCCTCAGTCCATGTTGGAATTCTAAGAATGGAAGGTCACTTATAAAAATGCTTTCCACCCAAGGTGGAAAGCTTTCCTTAGATACAGTCCTCTGCCAGGTGACTACTATAAGTGGCCCTACCACTAAGCTTGCTGTGTCTGACTGCGGGCTTTAGTTGTGGGGTTAAGTTATTATTGTTATGTAGGTAGGATTCCTTACATTTCCCTTCTCTGTCTCTCATGCGGGAGGCCGACATCCCGTGTAAGCAACCTTTTGTTCGAGAATCTTAGTTTCTGTTGCTTTTCACCTGTCCCTTCTTGTAACTTCATCTCTTTGAGATGCTTTCCTGCTTCTTTTGAGCTAGCTTTAGTGGGTTGGACATCTGAGACCTTCCACCTCTTTGGTGATGTCCATCATGAATTCTGGTTCAAGATAGCTAAATAGCTGAAATGCTAGTAAACATGTGGATACTAAACTAAACATTCCCTAGAAAGCATTTATGCTAGTAAATTTTAATAATGTCTAATTTTTATTAATGGTACATGCCCAAGTTCTCAAAATCCTGCCTCTCTGATTTATCAAAATGCAGTAATCTCACTTATGAACAATGAAAATTTTCTAAAAGCCGAAGAATGTTCAAAAACTAACAATGGGAGATGAAATCATTCAGGATGTGAAGTGAAGTCTATAAGAAAATATTGACAAATCATACAGAAATATGCTAAAGTTCATATCTGGAGGGGTATAAAGAGGGTTTCAAATTTTAAATTAATTTCCATCATTTAAATCTCAGTGTGGATGAAATCTATTTATTGTGAAATTTACATTACCAAAACAGCGAGTGGCTTATTCTCGCTATTCACTTCTTCACTGCCATTACAATGTGCCACATGCCATAAAAGAATCGGAAATTATCTAAATGATCCTTTACTAATTGAATTACTTGATTACTTATCATAAAAATAGTTACTTTATCATAAGAATGATCCTTTACTAATTCATGGTTCCTTTAGTGCCATTTAGCAAAGATGAAGAACATCTATGATTTCTTTCATATTCAGCATAGCAATTCACTTAGAACATGAAGACGAAGCAAATACCAAGTGAAGTCACCATATCATGATTCAGATCATTTAAAAAACCAGCTATATCACATAAACAATTTCAAAATTTAAAGAGTACTTGGATAATCACATAAAAGCCAAATTTATGCAAAGAGATTAAAACCTTAATACCAAATAAATGGTGGAGATGTATCCATATCTGACACGTCTTTATCTGAAACTACCCTATTTGTGGATTGAAAATCATCGTAATTGCAAGCCCTCAATAAAAAAAATATAACTCGGTACTCACAGCAGTGAGTGACAGAGCGCATTCTCCTGTCAACAAAAACTTGAAAACACGGACAGACAGACGGACAGATATGATGAGTACAATAGGGCATTTTTTCCATAAATGAGAAAATGTGCCAAAAAGAGTCTTAACTATGAAGCTAAATTAAAGTTGACTGTTAATGTGGTTTTAATATATAGTACTCCAAAAGGCTTATTTGCAATGAATGCAAATATGATTGATACTGTGATGTGAATCTTGTTTGTTGATTTGCTTGAATTCATCACCAAATTTGTGCTTTTGCTTTTAACTTGTCAGTTGAATGCCTTGTGTTCTGCAGAAAATTTACATTAAATTGTGTGTTAGCTTCTGACTCCAGTTCAATTTCCTATTAGGTATATTTATTTCCTTCATATTAATTGTCTAATAATTTTTACAGAACAGATCTACAAATGACATGGCTGAACTTTTATCTTTAAAGTGGAATAATCATAAATCCACTTTCTTTCATGTCTTGTCTACCATTCGAGCTAAGGTGAGTTCAGCAGCATCAACATACTAGTTGATGGCTTAGTTATAATTCCTAATTACACAAAAAACTTGAAGTCCATGTGTTTTTTATACATTTTTCACATGTAAATGGTGAATTAATAAACTTGAAGTATTCATTTAATATGATTTAATGTAAAAACATTTAATTACTTGATGTAAATTCATGTCCTCTTTATGTTTAATGTTTAATTTTGTTTGTTTGTATCTTATTTTGTTGGTACTCACAAAGCATTTGTTCCTCCAGGAATCTTACAGTGATGTCACCCTGGCCTGTGATGGGAGATTTTATTCTCTGCATAAGTTTGTGCTGTCAACTTGTAGTGAATATTTTGAGGAGATGTTTGAGAGGACACAGTGCAAACATCCTGTTATAGTCTTGAAAGACATCAATTCTGAAGACTTGGAAGCCTTGTTGAATTATATGTATGTTGGTGAAGTTAATGTTGTGCAGGAGAAATTAGCTGGGCTTATCAAAGCTGCCGAGTGTTTGAAAATCAAAGGCTTAGCAGTTCCTGATGAAGATCCTATGGAATCTAAAGATAATTCTAGTATAGGTAGAGAACAACACAAAAGATCTCAGAGAGGCGAGGACAGCCCTCGTGCCAAGAGAAGAAGAAGAGAGAACTCGTCGGATGTTTCTGAAGAAATCCTCAGTCCTGTGAGGTCGCGACCGAGTGGTAGAAGCCGAGACCATCACCACCATCATCATCACCATGGCAGTCACAATGCCGAGAGTGCGCCTGTAGCTCCTAGTGGAGATAATGAAGATGGCACCAGAGAGACCCAAGGGCTCACTGATGCCTCTGAAGAGGCAGAAAATTCTCCCAGTAATGCTAAGAGACGTGCTGATACTTCCTCAAATAAGGCCAGCTCAACGCAGACAAATGAAGAGAAAGCAAGAAAACAGGAAGCGGTATGTATTTTTCTATATTAGGGCTAAATATTTGAATGATGACATTTTTCTTAAAGTACTACCAAAAAGTTGTATCTTTATTATAATGTACTCTACAATGATATTAAACATTACTCAAACTAATGCTTCAGTATCTATTTTTGTTTCTAATTGCAATCGGTTCTTTGCAAATTTGAAACTGAAATTTCTTGTCTGCTAAACTTCTTTGCATTTTGTATCGTTTAATCCATTACATTTCTTATTATATTAATTCTTTAAAAAAATCTGCGCACTTGCTTCAGATCCCCGAAGAGAATGTCAAGGCAGAACCAGTAGACTCAGAGGCTGATGGAGACGACTGTACGGAGGTCCCAGGCGAACTAGAGGACAAAACCTCCCTGCACCAAGCGCTTGGTTTGGACGTCGATGACGAAAGTGAATTTATTGAGGACACTTCCTTGCTGGAACCTCCTCAGACGATGGAGGAAGTCGTGGCTGAGGTCATTCCGGGGTCTGCTGAGTATCAAGCAGTGAGTGTTGTTTGCACGAACTAATTTGTATTCTGACTTTGTAGTTAACAAGCAAAAAGATTAGAACAAAATTTTTGCTTCGGTTTTTCAACATTTGAATCCAGATAATTCAGGCGCTTTGCACCACTAAGTTCACTACTGAGTTAGTGAACTTATTCATCTCATCGATGATCCCAGTTTAGATCATCCGAGCAAGGTGATGAACTGTGTTGAATGAATTTTTACTTCATGATTCGTCAAATTATCAAATTTTCGTATGCAGTTCACTGAGCCTCGATCCAAGTTTCATTTCCTATACCTTCTGCTTCTCTGAAAATGAATTTAACTTGGCAGTGGTAGAATTAAACACTCAATTTCTTTTTATTCTGTTGGTTTATTTTTCATTGCGAATGTGACGTTATATACCCTCTGCTTACCGATTTTCAAAATTTGTTCTTGAACAAATTGAACTGGCCGAAAGTACTTTCATCCTTAGTGAATTAAAGACGTCACATGTACTTTCCTCTTCCTGGTCTTGCCTGTTTTAACTTTCTGCGGTGTTTAAATTATTTTAACTCGCATTTGCAGGAAGATAGAATGTTGACCAATAAATACATCTAATTGTTGCAGAATTCATTTCTTTGGGAGGGAGATGGGAGTCTGTCCGGCTTGCCAACTGACAGTTTTACGAGCGATTCTTCTCATCCTCGCCAAATAGTGAGTGTTCGTTTGCTATCATTTTCATTCTCTTCTGATGATGTCTTTTAGTAGTTTGTATTTGTGTGGTAGTTGGTGTATTTTTGTGTGAGTTATAGTAGTTGTGGTGTCTGCACTCGAGTGACATCATGATGCATTCATGTCTTTCAAACGATTTCGTCTGAAAATATTCTAACCCAAGTTCGTTCACCGAACAGTGTTACACTATCTAATTTATCTTCTTCATATTTTTCACTCCTGCATTTATGGCTTTTTAGGTTTATAATCATTGCAGGTTCCCATCATTCAAGCATGAATTTTTATTTGAATATATTTATATGCTTCTGAATGTAAGCATGTGGTGTCATCATATGCATATAGCTTATCACGTACGCATGCTGATCAATGATTTATGCACGACTTTGGGACTTCGAGGAATTATGTTGTAAACTCATTCATCTCTTCATAGGCTTGTGTCTCTTCTTCATCTTTTGGTGCTATGTTTGTTACCAAGTGATGCCTCATCAGTATTTCCTAATGTTATAAACTTCGGCGAAATGCATAACCCTGAAATGTTCTATCCTTTGTGTTAGTTGGGGACTTAGAATATGACTGCATCGTAGGCCATCACAACTTTAATGTCACTTCACATTTGTGGAGTTCATTAATTTCAGCTAATTAGTATTATTCTGGTATCCCTGTATTATTCATATTCATTTATTTTCGTGTTAATGACACCTCGTTAACTTCGTGCTTCGGTAGAGCCTATTTGACTACTCGAATTGAAAAATTATCTTGTCGCGAGACAGTAAATGTCGACGTAAAGCTTCAAAATTTATTATCCACTGTGCTTATGAAAAGTGTTTTAAATAGGTATAAGCTTAGTGGCAATGTTCACTATGTTCATCTGATCGTCATCTTTCGCTTTCTTATAGCTGCATAAATACCGTGTTATTGTGAATCACTAGCCTGCGCACTTCTTTCATAGCCTCACGAGCCTGCATACACCTCCGAGGTTGTAAAAAATTGTATTTGTTCGATTCTTTTTGAAGATCCTTAACAATCCTGTGACAAAAAGTGTAGTGTGTTGCAAAACAATTATTTCATTTTTTTATATAAAGAAAGATTTAGGCATTTGTGTTGTAGAATTATTCTCATAATGAAGATTTTCTGTCATTTCGTCGTCCAATTTTGAACGCGTGGCCAATATGAGCCGGAGTGATCAGCACGGCTACACTTTCGGTCGGTATGAAACTCTGCGCTCATTAATTCCCATTGTGACCCAACTTACTTTCGTGAGTGTTTTGGTCTTCATTGCGTTGCACCACAAGCCAGGTTTCTTCCTCACTCAAGTTGTAAAATGCTTCATCGCCAGGACGCGGTCATGCTTGTGGTTGTGATTGAAGAGAGAGAACATAAACATTCTGACATCATCGTGGGACATTATTAGCCTCCATGAAGAAGCTGTGGAAGTTGTAAAGCTAGGTGCGATTTTGTCTTTACTTGAAGAACAAGACCTGCTATGGCGTCATCCTAAAAGCGTCTGCATCTTCTCTTCTAGGTATGGGCTTTGAATTGTGCTCCTCTTCAAAATGAGAACAGCAACCCGCACCTTCTGGAGAACCATCAAGTTCTTGACGATGTTCTGTCAAGTCAGTCGCTCCCATCTGACGGAGGCAGTGTGACATCAATATCTCGTTCTTCAGGTCGCTCAATGCGATCAATGACTAAAAATTCGCGTGGATCTTCGAGCTCCAATGCGATGGCACTTTCTGTGAGCGGGCCACCGGTCTTTGCGAGCAGTGCCTCTTACAAGTGCAAGTTCTGTTCCATGAGATATCAAAGCGAAACTTACGTTCGCAAGCATGTTCTACGAAAGCACAAAGAAAAGCTTTCCGACTATGCGCCGGTGGCTTCCAAAGCAGTAGCTTTGGCGAGCTCCAACGCTTCTACTATAACTACGTCTGGCTTCTCCGTTGTCAGCTCCTGTACGCAAGTTGAATCTACCAACAAGGTCCCCGTGAGGAGATGCAGCACCAGCCTGCGCTCTCAGTCGGTCGCTACGAGAGTCAGACCTATACGTCCCAAAACGAACTTCTGAGGACGAAAAATGTGATCAGTTCGATTTCGCGTATTCTCCTATTAACAGAACTTGTTTTTTTCTTGTGTTGAACACAAACGTGGAAGTATTGGTTTAGCAATCTTGTTAGTTGATAGTTTTTGTTCACCAGCCTATTATGGGTTACTCTCGTACTAAAAGTAGTCATTAACGAAAACTGGAATCAGCAATTTTAGTGGACGTTTTTACGGAAGAGCATTGTTAAGCTTTGTTTATGCGTGAAAGGGAATCGCTTGTTACGACTCTTGTTATTAGCTCGGAGCGAAGCGTCGCAAATACTTGGAAGGAAAATTTAAAAATTGTTACTGCATCAAACCAACCGTCTGCTTCTTGACAGAATTGAAATTCACAGTTCTTGCAACGAGTAAAAAGAAAACTGTACAAGTGTGCATAAATCTTCAAACTCATAACTTCGGTTGCAACTAATTCTCACGCAGTAATTCTTACATTTATGTAGTGAGTTTCATTTCATCAGGAATACTCACGTACCAGATTTAGCCGTCTGCCCATGGCTTACATACTGAATTGTTCCTATGTTTTTATTGTGAAGAAGTCGATTATTTAATATTCAAGCTCGCTTGGTGTAACGATCTGGTTTTCTGAATTCATTGAGCACGAGTACATCTGGTGGCTGCGAAACTGCTTAGACATGTCGCTGAAGACTATTTACTGTTCCGGAAAGTGCTGGAGTGACTTCTGATGTTTCTGCCGGCAGATGATACCGTTTGGGATGAGCACTACCGACTTACAGCATCCTGCCGTCGAAACTATGGTTCCAAGAGCGCACCTCGAACGGGAGTTCTTACCCACTGGCACTCTTGGCTTTCCGAGTGCTTCCTTATACTCGGAATCTGTCAGAGCCCCTCCTGCGAGTACATCCTCATCTTTTCACAAGTTCATTTGTATTCATTGCGGCTACAGTACCAACCATGGGGGACACTTCAAAGACCACAAGCGCGTCCACACAAACGAGAAGCCTTTCGCTTGCCACATGTGTGCTTACCGAAGCAATGTCAAGAGCAACGTTAACAAACATCTGCTCATCAAACATGGCGTGAACGCCGTCAGAAGCAAATGTTGAAGCTCTTAGTTTTGATAGGATGTTACTGTATTTTTATTGATAAATGTTTATGTACGTTTCACAGTTACTGAATCGTTTTATGCGCTCCATTACTATTTACTTGTTGCAAGAGAGCATCAATTTGTAACTTTATTCTACTGACAAGAACAGTAACTTATCTAACAATCATGCGGCGGGTACTGAGCTCACGGATTCCATTATTTCTTAACATTATTTTTCCCTTGCATGTTGTTATTAATTTAAGCTTTTTTAGAAGTTTGATTCTGGATGGATGACTTGGTGTACCCCGGTGCAGTTTAATTGGCAAAAGTTACCTAAAAAAGATTCAATATTCTGAAGCTTATTAGTTGAGAGTACCTACTCCTCAATTATAAATTGATGTTTTTAGCGTTATCCAGGTCCTATAAATGGACTTTTACAAATTTACTGCCTCTAGGTTTTGCGCGTAAGAGGCAGAATACTTGAAGTTCATCTGCATTTTTAAGCTAAGAATGCACTTTAAGGCCATGTATTGATTTGATTTTATATATTTTTGTGCACTGCACTATACAATTCCCTCTCCTTGGCGTCCTTCATTGTTTTTATTCCTAGATTTATTCCAGTTCAAGTTCATTCCATGCGTTTGGTAGTGAATAGGAAAATGTAATTCGTTTCAACTTTTCTTGCCGTTGAAAATTTAAAATTAGGTTTAAGGTAATAGGTTCAGGTTGAAGTAAAATTCTTTACATTTTGCTCATATTGTCCCTCAAACATGTTGTTTGACGTGTGTTTTGCTTGTCTGCAATCTTGAGGAGATTTTGCGTCCACTCGAATAATTCCAAAGCGACCTACCTTACAGCTGGTCGTTGTTTGAGGTAGGATTATTTTGGTCGTTTTTCTCTGCATGTGTTCAATGCAAAAAAAGTTATGGGCAGAGTATCTTCGTTTGCGTCGTTAACTTGTCTATTATTCATCTCTTTAGATGCTAACGCTGCTGCCCATAGTTGGTGAATCACTTTCGTTGTGAGACGACTAAAGCGCACGAAACTTTGAGTAATTTTACTTTCAATTACGCGAAAGTCATAAATCGAGAATTCTAAGCTGGAGCCAGATATTGTTCTAAACCTGTTTGCTACTGTGATTGTAAATTTTGTTACTATGACTTTAAATTTGAAAAATAAAGACAAATTTCCAAGTATCTCAGACGAAAGTCAAATTTACTAATGTCTAATTTCAGTGTTGTTGAGACTTGAACTTGTTATTGCGCGGTGCCCGCCAATGTGGCTATTTATTTGAAATTATTACGAAATGATGAATTATAAGCTACGGATTTAACCTAATCAGGTAAGACGCTAGTTGTTCGCTGGGTGTAAACATTGACCATCATCTGGATATCATATTTATCATATCCTCTTCTTCTACTTCATAATTTAAAATCTTTTGTCTGTATTTCGATAAAAACAAATTTATTTTGCAATGCGATTTCATTAATTACTTCGTAGCTTGGTACTTGAATTTCGAAAATCATTCCTGAATATTCCTAGCTCCTCTACTGCTTAATATCAATACGAAAAACAAGTATCTCATTCAAATTCGTCTCCGTGGCAACTAGTGTATTATTTACACTGCCATATATATTGGAAGAATAATGTTTGAATTTTGTTTCAGAAGGGTGGTGACCAAGACGAAAATCTGGTTGAAGGCGAGATGACTGAAGAAGAACTGGTTGGAAACGCGGCAGCGATGATCACGTCAACGTTGCTGGAGGCGAAGGAGGCGTGCGACATGGTGGCGGAGGTCGCTGCCGCTTCTACCATCAGGGCACACATTATTCTCAATGAAGATGTCATCAATAGCCTCTTCGAAGAGGATAACACCAATAAGCATGCGGTTTATAGGTGTCGCATTTGTCTCTACACCTCTCTTAAGAAAAATAACATCGAGAACCACGTGATAACGCACACCGATCTACAGGCCTTCAAGTGTCAGTTGTGTCCTTATAAAAGTAATTTCAAGAAAGACTTGGTCGACCACTGCAATCTCAATCATCAGGTCACCAGTGCTTCATAATTGTCCTAAACTCGCGAAAACAGACAAAATCATAATTTTTAGTGAAGTTAGTAATGTATTTACGTTTTCTTTTATCATCGCAAGTATAAAGAGATCCGCCTTCTATTATCTAGACCTATTAGCTCCTCAAAAGAATAAGTTAATTATTCATGTTAGGGTTATAATTATAAGGAGTTTAGGTACCTATTTTATTTAAAATTTAATGAGCTAGAATTTATGTGTTAGCTTGAGTGACGGCGGAATGAGCATTGGCAGGCTTGCATTCCTTTTTCATATTCACTTTAGTCAAATTATTTCATCTTGTTAAATATTTAGTCACGGTCTTTTGGAAAACTGGGAGCGACTGTCAACTTCGGCTAATAGCCTGAATTATCTGGATTCAAATGATGAAAGTTCTATTTTCTTTTGTTCATAAACTAAAAAAACTGTAAACTGAGCAAAACAAACTGAACGAGAGCAAAGGCTGTACAATCCTTATGATATTATTTCAGGAGTCGCCTTTCGATTTTATTATATGTATATTTCGAGACCTTTGGATATGCCGATATTTTTTTTACAACGTACCGGCCAAGTTTCCCAGTACGGTTGATGATGACAAATGTTGACCCAAGTATAGTTTGACATACTAGAACTCAAAATCATCAGAAATACAGTCGCTAAGATTGTTTTATGGTAAAGGAGAACTTTCTCCTGTAGGTGAAATGGACGATCATGTGCGGACGCGTATGAGATAACGTCACCCAGTTGTGAACCATTGATGGCATGTAGCTGTTGTGGACGGCGGGGTCGTTGATCGTTAACTACTTAGATGCTCGTCCAATATTAATTACAGATTACTGGAGTATCATTTTGCGATGTTTTATCTCAAAGGTTTTGTACACGAATGTAGCACTTCTTGGTTGAGGCGAAAGTTATGCGAGTAACGAAATTTTTCTGTAGGCTATTACATAACACAGAGATAGGCACAGATCTAACCTGCTATGATCCGATATTTGCCTGACATTTAAAACACTTCTTTAAAGATTTCACATAAAATTTTTCAAATGTTCCCAACCAAAGATGACGCAGATTAGACGCAGCTGAGAGTCCACGCTTTTTAATTTCGAAGAATTCACGGCTGTTTTCATGTATTTATTTTTCTGAAGACATCTGTAATACGAGACTAACGGAGTTTGAAATGCGTGTTAAACGTGGAAATTTAAATAAGGTTTCATTGACAAACTTTTTGCCATGTGTTTACAAATGATCAGCTTCATATTTATGCTTAACGTGTTTAATTTGTGCCACTACCTATATTTAGACATAAGCTGATTTTATTTCGAAGTGTTGATAACCAAAGACTTGTTTATTTAGTGTATGCTCAGGTAACTATCTAGCTTAAATCTTGTGAAGCTCTTGCGTCACTTGGAAAGTTTCCATGAGAAATAGCAAGAGCATAGGGTAAGAAAAAATCATCTGACAAGAACCGAGAATCTCTTTCTGCCAATTGATGCGTTTTTTTTTTTTGTGCTCTATCCTATACTGCTTCATCTATTATCAGCAAAAATTTCCAACGAATCAAATTTTTTTCGTGCTTAGTAAGCTAGTTGGTGAAAAGGCTTTATACATGGAACTCCCTTTACGCTAAATTCGCATATTTATTTATTGAAATTTTATTTGATTTGTTTGTCATTTATATTTTCGCATTTATGGGAATAGAATTTTTGTACATCATTATTACAAATCCAATTTTTGATGACATGTGCATGTGGTTTCAATATGTATAAAGCGTAAAATAAAATGTCTTGCAAAAACGTGAATGCAGATAATTGCTAATGAGGTAGGAGATGGTAGAATATGCTACAAATTATAATCTTCTGTTCGTTTTGGCTGTAAATTCCTACTCCTTCGGAAGTGGAAAATGCAAATTTTTATTGGCAAAAAATTCTACTGCAAAAGGAAAATTCTAGGGGAAGTTCAGACTTTTCACTGTAATAATTCATCTTGGATGGACGAAGATATCGTATAACTCGCTATTAACCTATTGAGTTATTTAATCGAACCTAATTTATTTCTTCAACTTAGTTTTACTTGAATGTTTACGAATCACATGTTCTTCTAAATGAGATTTTTGGGAAGAGCGATGAGAACAAAAGCTACAAGAGAAAGGTTTTTCACCGGAATGCGTTCTATAGTGCCTCTCGAAGTTAGACTTTTCAAAAAATCGTTTCTCGCATACGGGGCAACGATAGAATTTGAGTCGCTGCTGTTTGTCCGTCACCTTCAGTTCATCCAAGTTGAGTTGATCAAAAGGCATGACTTTGTGAACATGATGGCCGCCTGTGAAGTCTTGATGTTGCATTTGTGAAAATCCTAGCCCCATCTGCTGCTGCTCTGAGTGCATGGTGAGCGCCCAGGCGATCTGAAAACAGTAATGCTACTAAGAATAGCGTAGAAACATGCAGAGGGTGAAGGAAATGTTTGATTAATCGCTATAAGCATCAATTACGGAAAAGACCGATTGAAGCCGTTGCATTTTGCATTCTTAATGGTTCAGTCTTTAATCAACGGACAAATGCAGTAAGTTATAGACTATTTCTTCATTTGCTATCATACATTTGTATTCTTCACACTTGAATGAGCCCATTCTTGACGTTTAACACTCAAAATTCTAAGCATAGCGTTCAAATTTACCCTTTGTTTGCCTATAGTTTGCTTGGATTAAACGATTTTTCAACTTCAATTGCACTTCATTTCCCTTCGATACAATATTGCACTAGATTTCTTCAAGATTCATATTATTGTTGATACCAAGTTACCAACTTTTTGATTGCACGACTACCTATTTGATTATTTATTGCCATCAAATCCTAGTAACTAATTTATAAATACATGTCCAAAAAAAAGAATTACCACACGCTGTTAGTTTGGCCTCAAATATGACCTCCTGACTGGATTTCTCGTAAAAGTCTCGCACCCCAAACAAGTCAAAATAATTTCACACTGTTCACGCAGCCTATAATTCGACGTATCGTGTTTGTCTTTTGGAAACTAGCTACACCTATCACGGTGCAAACAACTCAGATCTTTCAGTAAGTTCAATTTCTAGCTCCATCCGGTGACAAGCTGATCCGAGGGTTGATTACGATACCAATTCCGGATTAATCTCATATAGTAGTGCTTGAATCTTCGAGTGCTTGCTCAATATGTTTACTCCGTTTATGAAATACAAGTGAATGTTTGTTGGAGGCACGGTAAGGACACAGGTCACAAAAAAATGGCTTCTCGCCAGTGTGAATTCGAACGTGGCGCTGCAAGTTCCCTTTCTGTGCGGTCGCATATGAGCAAAATTTGCACATGAAAGGCTTCTCTCCAGTGTGTGTGCGAAGATGAACTTTAAGCTTCCACGAGTCGGAGAAGCTCTTGTGGCACAACGAGCAAGTTTGTACAAGCCCAGCATGTTGAGCTTCCAAGTCAAGACTTCGAGCCGCACTCGTGTTATGCAGCGAGTCCTGAAATGAGGGTGAATTATTGACCATCGCTACTTTTGTTGAATGCAGCGTTTTTGTGATATAATTCGGGAGAACTGCTAAAATTTGAACGTACTAGATTAGGTTTGAACTTCCAGAAAAATCCCAATCCTAATAGCATGGAAATTCAGCTGTGTAAACACACGGTAAACAATATTATTTCAAAACATGAAAAACTATGTTGGTAAAGTCTTTCATAGCAAAGTGAACCCACGTCAATACCTATAAATATTCACAATTTTGTTTACTACGATGACGAGAGCAACACCTTTCAACTATCCAATGTTTGGCACATGCTTTTGATTAAAAATAGATGAGTCGACTTTTAAAATATGCCCGTAATCAACAGTGAAAACGCATAGTTATATTTTTAAATTAAACATTTATTTATATTTAAATCAACTCCTGAAACTCACCTGGAATGATCCTTGCATGAACCCCATGTCCCACGAGCCCATGGATTGACGGTAGTCGTCGATAATATCATTGGCAATGGGCTCAATATCTTCGTGGTACGCTGGAGGTTCGTCGTCCATATTGGAGATCTGAGGAGCCAGCTTAGCGCCTCGCTTCCAAATGTCACTCCGCGCACTCAAATTTGGCATCCAAGGTAGCGTAGTCGAATCTTTAGCACAGTGGTAATTCTGCGCGAAGAAACCCAAAGTTAATACGTCACGTACACCCGTGAACTGAAAAATAAATTCCAACAGAAACATTACAAAAATTATTATAACGCACAAAAAAAAAATCATTTAATCCTGGAAATATCACGTATCGAAAATATGTGGGTGATCAAAGATTCTTTAATTACCCAGAAATCAAGTAAAAAAACAATGTTACCAAACTCACCTGAGCATGGATACTTTGAAGCAGTTCACATTCTATTCTTTGAGCCTCAATGCAACCAGCCAATGACATGATGCCAGATTATTACATAACTTATAATCAATCAGTCGGCTGCGTGATGAAACTGTCAGCGATGATAGAAAAAAGGTCACAGTTTCTAAAGAAATATATGTTCAACCAACTTTTATTCACTTTAGAGTTCAATAGCAGAATTTATCCGCTCACAAACAGTTTGAGTGTCCTGCATTGCAAATTATTGATGTAACAAAGCTTACTTAAGTAATATATTCCTCTTTCCAAATATGTGGCGCGCAATACATAAGTAATCTTTATAATCGAGCTTCTTCGTTTATGTTGTTCATTCGTCGTTACTCAGCAAATGAATAGAATGAAAATTAATAACATATACATCAATAAATACAATAATTTTTCTTGAAATTTTAGTCACAATATATGAATAATCAATGAGGTACTCCATGCGCCATCATTATATGAATACGAAGTCGGTCTGTTCGAGCGAACCGCAAGGGACACTGAGTGCACTCGTATGGCTTCTCACCAGTGTGGGTACGTTCATGCTTCAAAAAATCATTTTTATGCCCAAATATTTTCTGACAAAAGCCGCATGCATACGATTTAGATCCTGATTTCTTAAATCTTCGCGATGCCTCAAGAATTGAAGTTGCCAGAGGAATTTCGTTAGTTTCGATCATTTCTTTTCGGTTGGCTCGTGGCGCTCGCACGTCTCGCCCGGACGAAACGTGTAGCTCGTTTACAGGTCGGCCTTGCTGACAGTTGGTCGTCATCGTTGATTCGTACGACCACCAAGCATCCACGATGTTGTTCTGCACGGAATAATGATACATTTTTACAGCCTTCCACTCCATGTGTTATTCATTTTGATCGAAAATAAATTTTCCATCAGCGAGATTCTAGCCATTCGGTACGAAATAAGAAATGTTAGGTTGCGCTTACCTTACTTTCAAAAGGCCGATGAGTATGTAACAGCGCGCGTAAGTTGGCCTCATCAGAAGAAATTAGTCCATTTCCAATTTCACGCAATCTTAAAGATAAAATCTAATGCTTAGGTATACATTTCCAACTGATCTTGTTGTAAGGCAGTTGAGCTTTAGCGACGTGAGAGAAGATAGCGAAAATTTTGTGCCAGGGCAAGATGAATTAATAAAAGTTAGAAAGTATCAAAATTATCTCAATTCAATGTCAGATTAATTTGCCACGTAATTTAAGCGGAAAAATAACAATTCAATGCACTGAGAGCTGCCAGACAAAAATGAAAAAATTATCAATTACTAGAAATAGCGAAGATTAAGGAATTCAAGTTCATTTATAGAAAAACACCACATCACTAAGATGTATTTAATACACCGTGCATTAAGATCATAAAATAAAAGGCCAATTAAAGAGCAACGTTTTCCTCAAGCAAAACAAGTTTTATCATATGCTGAATTCAGCGCAAATCAGGCCGCCTCTTAGCAGTCTGAAATCCACGCCCTCTCAGTAATTCATGAAACACTTTCAAACTTATTAACATATGGACAACTATATATACTCCGTGTCGAAATTTTGGATATGAGGAACATAAACACTTTTTTGAGGCATTATTTGATGTCTACTCATGAGATGCTTTGTTAAATTGACTTTTTGCACAGACGTGTACGCACATAGATGACATGAAAACGGTTTTTCACCCGTGTGAGTCATGTAATGTTTCCTGAAGTTGTTTTTGTGGTCGAAATGTCGCCCGCATATTTCGCAATTGTACAAGTGTATCTGACTCGTAAAAGGCTTCTTCTGAAAGTCATAACTATGCGACTGGAAATTTTTCAAATCGTGAAAGTGTTGCAAGTTAGATGGACTAGGCGAAGAGCTTTTCCAAAGCCCGAAGTCATCTGAAGTATGCTGCCAGCTATCCAATTGCTGAGGCATTGCGATCAAAGAGGCCGAGGACTTGAGGGTTTTTCTGAATTGTTGTGCAGCGATCTACGGAAAGAAACAAGAAGAACTCTAGATTTATTATATGATAGTGATGTAACTACTCAAAATTTGATAATTATTTTATTCACATCAATTTCAAATATGAGGCAACGGTTAGAACCAAGATACAATAGTTAAATCCATAACCACACAGGGGACATATTTAGCCGAAACGAAAGCAGTGTGTACGAAAAACTAGATAAGCAAAATTTTGTATGATTCAACTGACTTTTACATTCAAAATCTTAATCCAGCAATCAAAATCACAAGAATGAATTATTACAAATGGTTCTTTTGCTAATAATAACACTTAGTTTGGACACAATTATTTCAACAAATACTTTTCCAACCACGGACCATTCTCCTGTGACGCGGTTTGCTAAATACTCGCACTCCATCTTGGAATACAATGATGATCCTCTACTATCTAGTTAAAACGGAAGCAAAATATTATGTTTATTCAACAAATGTTCCACAAGGTTCTTTTTCTGTATTGCCGCATAAGTGCACAGGTTACAAGCATGGGGTTTCTCTCCAGTGTGAGTCATATAATGCTTGCGGAAATTATTCTTGTGATTGAAAACGCGGCTGCAAACTGGGCACGGGTAAGTGTGTCGAAGATTTATAACGCTGGCAGGGGCGGAGTAATGCAACGGAAGAGGATTTTCTTCATTGTTCTGTGGATTATCAGCACAAGTTCCAGCTTTGTCCGATAAGAAACAATCTTGAGATGTCGAGTTTCTACGACATTTGAAAGGAGTCTCAGAGCAGGTATCAAAGATTGAATCTTGTTCGCTGGCAGAAGAGCCTTGTCGTGATCGATGTGCTACACGTGGGAGAGGGAGACCGAAGACCTAGGGACAAGAGCGCCGTGAAAAGTTATTAATATATAACAAGGACCAAAAACATTAGACGCACGTGCAATGTGTAACATGAGAGTTTAATCCGAATGCGAAGAATACAAAAGGGAAATATATAACAATAAATTGAATAAACCCTGGTTCTACCATGTTAGGTCCTCAATCAAGTAATAGATAAGAATACTGAGACCTTACGAGAATAAGACTTCATGACGCTCCCATCATTATAAAAACAAATACTAGGAGGAAAAAAAGATGGCAAAACAATTAAGCAAGTAAGAGTCAATCGCACGCCGAACTCTCCATCTGGGAATTAATTTTCAATATTTCAGAGCGCGACGAGTAAACAATTTTGTGAAGGGAATGACATGAAAGCGTTTTCATGTTGTTTACTTAGACAATGAGCAGATGTGCCTGGTCAGTCGCATCTACTGCCTCAGCTTTTATTAGCATCTGAAATTGCAGTATGTATGAACTTCTTCATACCAAGGAAATTTTCTTAAATGATAAATGAAAATAAGTGGCTGTTGATTCCGCACAATTTTATTATTATTACGGTTGTTTTTCATGGTTTCAGTAGATACAATCTCAACACTGAAAGCTCTGAACTTTCTGACAAACTCAAGTCTTAAACACTTGTCATATGCATAAAAACATGGAAATAGTAAATCCACTTAAGTCAAAAAATTTCACTCGCTTGTTGATCCAGAACACTAGCCTGGTCAAAAATATAAACCAAGTCTGATATTTAAACTCCTATCAAATAGCGCACAAGATCAAGTTCACATCAGGGAACTAACGAAATGCAAACTTTAGTTTATTAAATTAATATATTTACCGCACAGAACAAGAAATCATGAATTACCTGTTCTCTTGAGTAGGCAAAAGTTTCCATAGATTTCTATACTGGATTTTTCTGATCATTCTGAGCCAACGATATTTATATTGTAATAGCGATACTGAAGCAATTGAGCACAGAACATATAAAAATGAGATTACTGCAGTACGCCCTTGTGTTTCATTCGTATGTGACGGTATAGCGAACCGCTCTGTATTGAGCGGTAGGGGCACATGGAACACTGGTGAGGCCGCTCCCCGGTGTGAGTCATGTGATGGTTCTTGAGAATTGTTCTGTCTTGGAATACCTTGCCACAGACACCACATTGGAATCTTTTAACGTGACGAGCAGGAGACGAAGTAGAAGAATTTTTGAAGCCACCTAAACCTTGATCGAGAGTGAGTGTAGATGATGCATCAAAATTAACCCAAGCATCGCTAGTTTTTGTTGAAGCAGAAACAGTTAATGATCTATAAACGTCATTTGTTGATGAGGAGGGATTGTTGGTACGACCTGTTTCGAGGAAGGCCTCCTTAACTTGCGGGAAAGTTGAGTTATCTTTAGAGTAAGCAAGTAAGGTTTGAGTCGAGGTAATGGTAGGAGATAACCCGAACTGTTGAGCACTCAAGTCCCGAGTTGTTAGTAAAGCAGTTCCTGAAATCGCATCCACAGAAGATCCGAAGCCGACGTCCTTGAGGCTAGAGGAAGGTACGCGGGCGACGTAAGCTGAAGTACACTCCGCTCCAAATGGATGAACCTAAGAAACACCAACATCAGTGAGTCATTATAAGAGTAGTTTTACTAATTAGTTTATAGGTTCATTTTCTGCGTGGAACGAAATAACACCGCCATTCCTATCGTCTCAACACGCCTTGTGTTGATTGACTGAAAAGATTGTCTCCGTAAGAGGGAAATCTATAATAGCCCTTTTAAAATTTGCCAATATGTCTAGGGTACAGACAACATGAAATTGAATTAGCAGAATCCATTTTTACCTTGGAAGAAATCAACGTCTTAATTTTTGTGATTAGGAAAATGAAATGAAACATCTGTGTCCTTTAAAAGTATATTTACCGCCGAAAGTTAAACGAGTAAACATTCTCCGTATTGATATAGCAATTAGCAAGCAACACTTACGCCCTCATCCAAAAAAATAGCACGCTATCAGTTTGAAATTGTTTTCTACAGAGACATGCGAAACCTAACAGCGTAACTGCGTCAATAACTCCTTACTAGCACGATTAATACTGACATGGATACCTGACACCGTCCTCACATATTTCTCTCCCTTGTACACATAATTAGGTAGGCCTTCATAATCATTCCGATCCTTGACTAAAAACATAGAAGCAGTATTGTGAAGTGAACAACTTTGTCTTAAATGCACTATAATTTGTCAAGTGTTTATCAGCAGAAGCCTGAACGCTGTTAAAGTAATTCATGGGCAATTCGATATTTAGGCACAAACTGAACTAAAATCATTAGAATAGAATCATTCGTAAAATAAATTCCGTGAATAAATCAAGAAGTAGTCAGATAATCAAAACCATATCCAGTTTTTAACGGACAGCGGTGTGTAGAGCGAGAGCTTATAAGTTCATATGCGCATGAGGAACCACTTGGGAAGAAGCGTGCTTTTCCTTGACGTGTCTCTTCAGATTCGTGGGTTGCCGCGCACGAAAGTCACATTCGCTGCAAGCGTAAGGCTTTTCTCCAGAATGCACCATGTAGTGATGCCTAAAATCGCTTTTCTGGAAGAAAAGTACACCGCATACGGGGCAGGGACACGGCTGTTTGCGCGAAATGGGACCTAGTTGTGGCAGCTGATCGAACGGCACGACCGCCATGCTCGAGTCGGTCTTGGCTCTTTCTCTTCGACGGATAAATAAATCACCAGTTTCGAATGATAAAGGCGAGCCCATATGAGAGTTGACACTGAGGCTGCAATTCCAGTTGGGTTTGACGTTGCCTTCAGCGCCGTGTTCCCCACCACCGAGGGTATTGCCATACCTCGCACTCATGACGCCAAGAGGGTCCGGTTGGACAAAGCCCGCTGAGTGGAAAGGAAGGCCAGGTCCAACTGGGTACGATACCTACGGGACAATAACTGAAGTTCACTCACATGGTACCGTAAATCATCGCATTCGTCACGTTAATAATTACATAAAGGCTAAAAACTAAATTTCATACAAGTTTAGCACAAACTACTTAAATTTAGGCCTAATCGTAAACACATAAGAAATAAAAAAATGAGGACAAAATGAGAATATAAGAAACTTCGAAAAGAGGCATAGATAGTTCATCCAAGACCTGAAACTATTTTCTTAGTGCATCTGATACTATTTCACCAGAATTCTATTCTAAAAACACTTATTTATGTGTGAATAAGGCACAAAGCGAAATTTTTCAAGATTTCCAGGCATCTTAACAGAAGAAACAGCCTATAGAAGTAATACCTATAGTTACAAAATATTGTTCAATTTCGTAGCGTAAGTAACCTTGGAAACTTACTTTCAACAACTAAGAGGTGCAGGATAAGAATCGAAACTCGCAAATAAAATGTACAATCAAGTCATGGTGTTCTTCACTGGTTTGATAATCTCTGCCTATAACGCTGCTATTTTGAATAACTTGTTGAAAACACATCCAAACTTTTACCCCTAATACAATTTGTGATTAGTATCGATAGATATACGTACATTAAAAACTTTCCAGTCCTTAAAAATTACTCTGGATCGCAATCAAGTTATTTACATTCAACACAAACAAGTGGCAGGCTACATATCGATACAATAGAAAGTTAACAAATGTCTAATAAAACACTGAAATTACGACCAAAACTTGAGAATGCAACTCAACATTCGCTGTCTTAAATTCATTCCTATATATTTAAACGACTATCTAGAGTGAGGAACAGCTACAAGGAGTAGAGTTCATGTTTTTCTCTGACGTGCCGCTTGAGGTTACAAGACTGTCTCGCCTTGAAGGGGCAAAGATGACACGCGTATGGTTGCTCTCCAGTGTGAACCATGTAATGGCTCCTGAAGCGAGTCTTGTCAAAGAAATCCATACCACATACTGGGCACCGGAAGGGGTTCTCGTGGGATATTGGGCCTACATTGGGCAGCTGATCGAAAGGCACTACAGGTACGCAGGTTCCGGGTTTCGTGCGATGACGGCGTTTGTAAGCGCCGGCAGCAGCGGCCAATGAGCTCGAGAGTGCATGTGTTGAGTTGTCGACCCGAAGAGGAGCGTGTGACGTCTGCGTAAACCATTGTAGACTTTCGTCGAACTCCTGGTGCGGCCCGGGGAGTTTCACCTACAAAACACGTAACGTGTTTACTTCTAGACACAGCAACCTGGCACTGATATTACGTGAATAAGTGATGAGTAAAATACGAGGGGTTTGTACAGAATGCAGATGTGCAATCGGCATAGTCAACAAATCAAACCATGTAAAATTCTTATCCGCATTCTACACAGAAAGTTTTATAAATGAAGAATACGTCGAATTAATCGGAAATTGGTAGCCATGTATAAAATTAGCCATTAAAAATATTAAGACATTTGTTTGATGTAACGTAAAATAGTAGAATACACACAACTGACGTTATAGAAAGAGAAGTTACACTCACATGGAGCCTCAAAAGTGAAGTCAATTCCATCTTGATGATAACGAACTAAATACCCGAAACACATCATCCAACAGACCATATTAGGCTATGGGGGCAAGGCAAATGTCGAGGTTTTTGATTTCCAAATAAGAGGAAACAAATGGTTCGCTACAAGAACACAGAAAACAATACACACGGCTTGTACAAACGCTGTACAAACCGTAGAAAATACGAAGGTGCTTCTATTGATGATAGCCAAAGCAAAGTACGTTACCAAGTTACATTAACAGCGCTAACGATTTCTTCACAAGTTATGTTGTGGGAATGATTCAACGTCGCGGTGTTTTTCTTTGATATGACGATTGAGATTGCCCACTTGACGAGCCTTGAAGGGGCAGTAAGAGCAGGCGTACGGTCTCTCGCCAGTGTGCACCATATAATGATGACGGAATTTGGCTTTATCGTAAAAGAGCATTTGGCATACGGGACAAGGGTAAGGTTTTTCGATGGACATGGGCCTCACGCCGGTGAGCTCTTCAAAGGGTACAACGGGTCCAATATGACCAGGTCTGGTGGCTTGGCGCCGTGGTTTTAAGGGTCCAACAGAGATGAACGGAGGAAAGAGGCAGCTCTGTGCGCGGACATCCGGCAGCAAATGCGATCCGCAGAGTTTTGAGATGCCGTCATGATCCTTTTGCTCGAACATCACCTACGAAGAAAGTGAATGGACGTCACGCTTTTAAATATGTAAAAACTTCATGTTGTGCGCTACAAAACGAAATCAGGGCAATTTAGGAAAAAGACCAAAAGGAAATATAGAATACAGAATTGAAACGACACTTTATTAAATAAATCGTGAATACAACCATCAAAAAGTTTCGAAATAAACATTGATTCATTCAAGTACGGTAATCAGAACAATTTCCTGCTTCCAGGAAAAAGGCAACGAGAAAGCAAAAAGACTGCATAAGTCTACCATAGTTTGCAGATTAGGCGAAAACTTTCAGCGTAATAATTACGATCATGAAGAGACTTATGCATCAGCACTATAGAGATTCGACACAGACACCATCACGACGAATATGCGTCGAAAACATCAAACACACAATCGATTATAAATATCGATGATTTACCATCATATGGAGAACGAATAAAAAATAACTAGGACGTGATTAGGTTTTTGTGGCTACGAAGGACGTGTAACCGTAATGCAGAGGCTCTTCGTGCCCTGTAGGCACAGTGTGGACAAGGGTAAGGCTTCTCTCCTGTGTGTATCATGTAGTGACGTCTAAAATCCTTCTTGTCGTAGAATTCTTTTCCGCAAACGGGACAAGCGTAGTTTAGGTTGGGGTTAACTGTGGCTTGTACTCGGGGCAACTCATCAAAAGGAACGATATACTCAATCGGAGACTCAACAAAAGAACGACTAGTGGATGGTTGGTCGTTGAGACAAGTAGGTTGAGATTTCCGTCGACCAGATGATTCTCTGGAATCCATGATGACCAGTTGGTGCCAAGCCTCTTGGTCGTTGGTGTCCATCGTAATCGCTGGACACCACCAATCGGTGGTCTCCATCGCAATCCCTCTTGCCACCTAAGGAACACAAGACAGGGCTATTGAAAGACATCCCATGCATGCACGCACAGCTCAATCGTGAGTTCAATGTTAATGTGAACATAACTTAAAATTTTCGAATGTGTTGACAGGACTCATTTATAATTAGCCCAATTTATTGATACAATTAATTTTTCAAGTTGTCTTACATCATGATACATTTTCGGGAAAAATTATCCCATCTAAACCCCGTGCATGTTGTGCAAGACATATGCTCATTTCTATGAATGATTAATGATTATTATCACAAAATAAATAGGGTTAGGCCACCATATCAGAGGCAACTTGAACAGTTAATAATTAGAAGGACTAAAATACCAAACATTTACAAATTCACCGTGCTTGCGTCCGGTCCGAAGTCCGCACGAAGACGTACCAAAGACGTTTCGACGAGACTATAGAACCACAATCACAACCGTGTAGCGGTTACTAGAAACAAAACGGCCGTCATTACGGCAGAAGACCTTCGTGATCGAAACGATCAAGGCATAGCCACCATACTACTTTAAGCATCGCACGACGGCTTAAAACTTTTTCGGTATTAAGTAGAAAAATTCGAACAGCGATTAGAGACGTTTAATTTCGAAATACTTCGTTCAATTCTTCGAGAAAAAAAGCGTCAATTTACAAAATTGCAAAGTCAAGTTCTGAATTTATTTACACGTCTTTTGTAAAAGTGATTTTTTTCGATTTCACATGCCACGATTTTCACTAGTTTAATTTTAAATAGAAAGTATTTAATTTTAACCCGCATGCACTCCATTTGCCGTGCTCAGGTCCAAAGAGTCTTAAAGCAAAAGACGCCGCTTCGACCCAGATACTCTACCAATTAACGATCTTTCAATGAGCATGCAGAAGTTAATCTAAATACCAATAAATATAAACTAATAAAAATACACAAAAAAACTTCAACAAGAAACTGCCGACAAAAACGCCTGCTAATTATCAGCCCCAACTTATTCTTTCTCTTTGTGACTCCAATGCATCGTATGCCTTAAAAGCGTCAATTTGTCGTTTTCCAGAATTTTTCTACATCAAAAATAGTCGTACTCCTGCCGATTTGAAAATAATAAAGTAGAAAAATAAATGAAGAACGTGGGCCCGAGGAATACAGAAATTAGCATAATTTCAGCGATGTTTGAGTCTTTCCTTTCATTCTACTTGAATTATATTACCCCGATGGCTCAAGAAAAAACTCCAAATTAAATTTACAAAAAAGATATGAGAAGGCTCCGGGATAGAGCATACGATTTAACTATTAATCCTGTCATTACCAAAAGTTTATAATGAGACATACTCATGAATATGCATTATTGGTAGCAAATTGACTGAAGAATTTTACAATATCAATTCATCACGCAACAAATTAGGCCTCAATAAACTATTTCCATAATAACAGAATCATTAGTTCACACTCTTTTAACGGGATATCTTTAAAAAGGGTAAGGAAGTCACAATCATGTAACTTGCATTATACTTATCGAAACACACAACCAATATGTTCCATGTTGTTAAAGCATAACAAATGATACATTCAACTATACACACGGTTTCTACATAACGTATCGTTAAAATTAAAAATATTTTCCTTATAAAAACGATTAGAGTAATATGGGTACTAATCCTTTGTCAGTCTTCCTTGAGAAAGAATTCGAATGGATAGGATAACAGGATAAAATAAACTAAATAGTGTTTCTCGACAAGGAAAAAAAACTTTAAGACTCAAGACTTAACTCTCGACCATCAAATCGTTAGGAATTTGAAACTAAGATTGACAATTCTCACGTCAGTTGTCGCGTCCTGAGCAAATGAAAAGCAGGAACAAAAAACGCTGCTTAATGTTGAGCAGTTGTTGATTAATAATGGTAACACAGAGTCTGGATTCTCAATTCAGTGTCAAAAGAAGTAACACGTCAATAACGTAGACCGGTAATTCAATGAAAAACATGTATACATTAATTAATTAATCCTGAAGGATTTGGCAGAGATTTCAAAATTATAGTTTGTGCTTCAAAGAGAGATGACCCCTAAGCGCAACCATCTGTCTTGCCCTGTAGGGACAATGTGGACAAGGATATGGTTTCTCCCCTGTATGAATCATGTAGTGGCGTCTGAAGTCTTTTTTATTATTGAAAATCTTGCCACACACAGGACACAAAAAACCCGATTCGGAACCCCAAAGGTGACGATGAGCAAGTAGTTCCTCAAACGGCATGACGCATGGGTTGAAAGGGGCCGAGTGTAAAGAAGGATCGTTGCCTTCGCCTCTAGATCGATGAAAACCAGCGAAACTTGTAACATCGTCAACTTCTCTGGGCGGTTGCAAATTAGAAAATGTTGCATCATTGCCACATTCGCTGGACCGTTGCACGGCTGGAATAGCTGTAACTTCGTCGCCGCGCTCTGCAGAATGTCTCGCGGAAAGAATATCACCGTCGGACGCCTGATGGAGACTCAGTCGAGACGAGATGCATGCAGAGGAAGAGAGATTCATTGGCGTGTGAAGGAAAAGTGAGTTCCAGCTGGCAGCAGACGTGGCTTTGTCGGTCGAGCAGAATTTCACCTAAAGGAAACAAAAAATGGAACCACATCACTTGGGAAACTTGGTCGGTAACGCGCCAACGCCTACGCTGGTAACGCTTTGCAGGCTGATCCAAGCGACAAAAAACATGAACATTCCTCAATATCATAAATGATATTATAAAATCAGTCGTAGTCGTAATTTAGCTTTCCGATAACCAATCTACAGAACAAAAACGGCAAAGACAAGAGATAAATTACAGTTATAGTGGAAAAATTTGAGATCATTCGAACCAGCTAGTCAATGCGAAATTTCCAGAAGGAAATGGCGCAAACAGAAAAAAATTGAAGGACATGAAACTTCATTACAAGCTACTTCCTTTCACAATAAGTATATTTACGAATACTGGCATAATGTACAATCCCGAGTCCATCCACGATATTATTTGTACATTCCAACACCGTACATAAAATTCACTATGCAGTGTACATTGTGTATGCTACAGTAATAATGTACAGGGCCTAATATTTACTATACACATATTTGTCGAGGCCGAAGGGAACTCCTATCAAAAAACTTGAAACAGACATTGAATTGCAGCATCGAGTCCAGATTTTCTCACTGTTGAGTCCTGTTATTGTAAGACGGACGATGTTTGGTTGCTAATTCCAAGATGTCTTCGATTCACATGCGACTTGAGGGAAGCGAGTAGTCGCGCTCTGTACGGGCAGAAAGAACATGGGTATGGCTTCTCCCCCGTATGCACGCGGTAATGACGTGTGAAATCCTTCTTGTTATGGAAAACTTTTCCACAGTCAGGACACGAGTAGACGCTGCCAGAACGACGCTGGCTTGAGTTAATGTTCGTACTTGTTGGGCCAGACGCATTTTTATTGCGAGGAAGCGAAACACTAAGCAGAGCGCTGGGTTGAGACTGACGAACGTCCAAGTATGACTGGGTTGATGGATGCAACCAAGGTGGCATGGAAGCCGGAGCTGGGAGCAAGTCATGAGAGACCTACGGAACACAAAATAACTTTAAATTCGTGTGTTCTTTTCAGGGTACATTACTCAGGTGCAAGCGAGCAAAATAACATTGATCACCTCAAGATATTCAAACATGACCTTGTCATTATTGCTTAAGGCTCAACTACAGCGAATAAACACTAAACAATGCATAATATTATCGCATTTCATTTGATAGATTAAATAAGTAATAACAAAAACTATAAATCAAAGAAAAAAAAGGAAAAAACCGTAAAAAATCAAATTTGTATACATATCCAACATTATTACAGGTTCAGTAACGCCAAAATTTAGCACCACTGGTAGTCACCATGAAACATACAAATGGTCGACTTAAAAGTTTAAATGACAGAGCTGTGATTATGCAGCTACATCAGTAACGAGAAGGGTAATCAGTTGCAACTAACTAAACAAAACTTCCCTTATACTGTATAAACGTTGCACATTTTGCGATACGTTTCTTCAAATAATTTTTTTTACATCGAACATTTTTCATCGGATCCAAGAATCCACTGGATAACCTAAAGTGAGTGACAAAAGGTTTAAAATCTGCCAGAAATCTTTTTACTGAAAGTTCGTTCTCTTCTTAACCTCTCGTTATTGCTTCACAACGACCGCCGGATGAAGTCGAAAGGAACGGGCTTCTAGAATTCTTTCATCATAAACCGGCTCTCTTGATGAATGAATTATTTAACGCTTCTACACAGATCAATCGACTGGGCTTCGAGTTTAGAGGTGAAATTTTTGTTTTACTTCCTTCGACACACGAGTCAACTCCTAGAACGCGTTTTCTAAAAATATAGCTCAAATCGATGCCCGACTCACAAAATTTAGTTTTCACTACAAACAAACATCTAATAACATTTGTTATTAGATGTTTCAACCACGGTTCAAAAAGTTGTTATCAGATGAAAATTCAGGTGAAACTCTGCTCCACTATATTAGATGAGAGCAGAGTTTGGTGCACAACTGATAGAATTAATTTTCAACAAAAGAGATTTAGAATGCATCAATAGAAGCCGAAGCGAAAACCAAAATAAGTTACAGTTATAGCAAGACAATATTCCTATGATTATAATTGAACCATCGCAAAAACCGAGATATATGACACGACAACGGCATTTAGACTAGAAATAGAAGCAGAGACGGTTGGATAGCTCGTTCATTGCCTAAAAAGTAAAATATTCAAAAGAAGCACAGAAGCACAGGTCGATATTTTACATTTGTGTTACTTCTTCGATGACTTGTGAGGTAAAAATTTCTTCAAGTGATAAAATTGCTTAGTTCGTCTGGGTGTTTATTAGATACATGACTCTTGAGGTTATAAAGTTGACGAGCTCTGTACGGACAATGTGGGCAAGGAAATGGACGCTCCCCCGTGTGAACCATATAATGCCTCCTAAAATCAGCTTTGTTGAATATTTCCTTCGTACAAACGGGGCACGTGTAATTCATCCGCGGGTTCTTGGGTTTGATATGAGGCAATTCGTCGAAAGGAATATAATTCGAGGGAGAGGAGCAAGAGTTGGCAGTAAGAGGCGTCGTAGGAAGCTCCTCCAACAAAACTTGAGGGGACAAATCCAACGAGTTAAGAGCATGGAAGACACCAAGGGATGACCCCCAAGGTTCTGCTGAGAGACCTCCAGCTTCATCGACCTAAGAAAATGGGAGAAAGTCAACGAGAGCAAAGTCGCCCTCTACTGACGAGAGGCAATCGATCGTCAACTACTGTGGGCGTTTAATGCTCATTGCAGAGAAGCAAGTTCGTATATCACAAGAACTTTCTGATTGAAGCGGGACAAAATATAAATATCTGGAGGTAGGAATCTCCATGAAACTTTAAATTTTTATGTAGTTTTTCGACATGATTTCTAGTATTTGGTTCTTGGTCAAACAAAATTCCGAGCTTGTGTGAAACACGAACCACATTAGACGTTTTAACTCGAGATTATTCAGTTGAGATGTAGTAAATGGAGAGTTATGTTAATTAAACTTATCAATGTACTTATGAACATACAATGCATTACTACAAGCATCTAATACTACAGCTCTCACTGCATCAGCGGATTAAGGTTGCACTTAATTCTAGTTTTGAATATAATTAACCAAAGATTGAAAATAGGCAAACAAAAAGTTAAAAATCAACACAAAAAATACCCCGGCAACGTATTCTGAAAAAGACAATCCTGAGATTATTCAGAGCATAGCGCAATCAGGCAATAGATTCAATGAATAAGCTTAGGGCAATTGAATGTACAGATCGTCAACAGTGTCTCCGACAACGAGTATCTCTCGTAACCACGGTATTGGTTTTTGTTCGGGTACTTTGATTTGCTGTTCGTAAAACTTCCAATATAAAAGGTAATACAAATTTAGTTATTTGCCGTTTCCAAGCCTGTGGTATAATATATCCAACAATTGGCTACACGAGTTAAAAAATTAGTTTTTACATCTGTCAATCAACTTCCACTTTTAAAATGATTATTGTGAACCATTAATTACTGAAGACGAGTCATTCTCGAGCGTGCTTGAACAAGACGTGTGACTTGAGAGAAGAAAGCTGTCTGGCGCGGTACGTGCAATGCTGACAGGCGTAGGGTTTCTCTCCAGTGTGCACCATGTAATGTCGACGGAAGTCCTCGCGACTCATGAACTCCTTCGGACAGACGGGACACGCGTACCGCTTACGTGGATCCTTAGTTTTCAAGCGAGGCAGAAAGTCAAAAGGCAGTAAGGGTGGAGAACTCGAGCTATGATGCAGAGACGCTGACAGAGTCAGTGACTCCAAGAAGCGTTGAGTCGGTAGAAAACTATGGCTGCTGATGGTGGTGGAGGTTGTGGTTGTCAGAGCAGTGGTCTCCAATTGATGTGTGCCTGAGTGTGGTTGCTCACTTTCCTGTCAGCGGCAGGTAGCGCCACGGGTAGGGAAGAAAAAGTAAAACACGTCAGCGTCAAGACACCAACAAATATGATAACTAACACTCATTGATTGAAACGTCTAGTTTTATGAAATGAATAAAAACAAATATTTTAATATGAAATACCCTCATATCACGTCAAATTAGCGAAAAACTCGTAAGCACAAAATGCTAGCTTGACATATGCATGCCTCATTTTTCCCATCGATATACGATAAATGATTTAAGCAGCTAAGCTCGAAGTTTTCTCAAAATTAAATGCACAAACGTCCTACAGCAAAGAATTCAAAATAATTCCAATATAGGGTGAGGCAATACCAATTCACTCACAAGTGGGAAGCCTTTATGAGGATTGATCATTTTCCTTAGCACATACTCTCGCTATAACGAGTGCTGTTATAAAGTTAAAAATTAACTACAATATGTGAAAAATAATTGACGGTCATTCTTGAATTCATACCTACGCTTAAATTCAATTGCTGAGTACTTTTGAGAAACGATTGGTTATATGTTATAAGCTATGTTATAACTTATGGACAGCTGAGTAAGTTACCAATAATGTCATAATAAATAATTTGTTATACATTGTTTTTCCGTCGCTGCCAAAACCACCCAGGCAGTAGTCCCGACCGATATAACGTCGCGAGCTAGAACGTACCATAACTCGAGCCAGATTAATTAACTTGTAATTACTATTGATATACGCCTCTCGAAACGCTTCACTCAGTTCCAGGAACTGCAGGCGGTTAATTGCATCTTTCATAACTAATAGCATTCAGAAGAGATTACATTATAAATCTTTCGTTTGGTAACATAACTTGAACGAAGCGTCATTCGAAATTGTTGTCTAAGGAATAGAGGTTTCCTTACCAAACCCCACAGACATCGAAGATTTTTTAGGCTCTAGGAGTCTAGGTGATGTCACCAACGAGCGGGCCGCAAGACACCCCCTCGGATGACACAGAAGCCGTTGGTTTGGGACCTCTAATCCAGAGCATCCATGAGCTGAGCTCTGACTATAACTGTGAACTTTGCAAGATGATCTGTTTACATTAATTTCGAATGTGAAGTGATACCGTTGCCTTCCTCGTTAGGATATTGATATAGGATGTGGAATAAGGAATTTCTAATAATTCGCATATACTCAGGTGAAGAAAAACGATGTTGTTCCTTTGGTTATTTTTTAGTTAAAAGACAATTTGGGGAAATCCCCTCCCCCTCGAAAATCATAAGAGAAATGTCGTTTTAGAAGCCATACTGTCAGATGAGTCTTGTCGTATAAAAACGCGCAAAGAAGTGTAAAATGAGTGCATGATTGTTCAATACATATTCAGCGAGTAATGCAAAATCTCTGACGCGCGTGTCCAAGATAAAGATAAAGCAACTAAACACTGTAAAAGAAAAATAGAAATTAACAGAACAAATGAAGATTCAACTCCCAGTTTGATACATGCAATCTTCCAAGGACACAACTGATTTGTTGTGGACTAGTTAAACAGATTTCACGCATATACAATATTAAAATAACTTAAGCTTACCTAGAAAGATAAAGGCTTCCGTTTGGCTATAAATTTTAAATAATAGATATAAAACAAATGCACCATTAACGAAACTGAAAACTCCCTAAGTCTACTCTTTTCAACCCAAAAGGACACGCTTTTTGTGACTCTTAACTTTAACTAATTAAACAGGAGTCATCAATATGCCACGGCGACTAGGGCTTTGCGTTATCTCCAAACACTGGTATAGACAATGAAACGCGTAATTCACTCAGTTAACCTATAACATTCTCACATTCTTGAAAATCCCGGTACTCTGAGGATTTCTACTCTATATCAAGGATCCGACACGACTAGACTCGTGAGTGAAATGCTTAGCAGCAAGATGAGACTTGAGACTGCTCTTCTGCCGCGCCGAGTAAGGACAGTATGGGCATGAGTGTGGCTTTTCCCCAGTATGGATCATGTAGTGACGTCTGAAGTCCTTCTTATCGGCAAACTCACGACCACACACGGGACACGCGTACCGCCTCGATGGGTTGTTTGGACGTAGATGCGGCAGAGCTTCGAAAGGCGTCAAGAAAGGCAAGGATGCACGTGGCACAAGTCTGGTCGTCGCGGTTGCAGATTCAGAGGTTTGTCTTGTGAACCCATCGGCGGAAAGAGTGCGATCATGCGACGTATGCTGCGTAGACCATATCACATCATTGCCGTTCCCAAATAAATTGACCTACGGATACAAGAAAACATATTTCAAAAAGAAAAAAAATATTCCGTGTGTTTATTATTAAAATTCAAAAGAAAATTACTTACAGCACCTAACAACTGTTTTGCAATGATAGCAGTTGTCTTGGAAAAACAGAACATCGGCCAATCCGTGAAATTTGTAGTTGGTTACTAACAGTGCAGAGTGCGAAGTGCCCATAAAACACAAATAAGTAAGACGTTTCAACGTTCAAAATAAGTCTTGAAATCACCGGATTTGCAATTCTCTCGAAACTATACAAGACGGTCTGAATATTTGTTTTGAAAGTAATTAATGATCTATAAACAAGACCTGCCAAACAGTGAATCCGACGATTCGCGCATTGAAGAGATAACAAATTTAGAAAAAATTAAAACTATTTTAATCTTGATAACAGAATTGGACTCGAATAAGCAAGAAAATCTATCGAACCACACAAATTAATCTTTTTTGTAGGCCAAAACGATTCATAAGAACTTCAACCTTATTGTTGCAATTCGAGGTTCAACCTCGTTTCATCCACTAAAAATTCCTCTTTAAACGTATAACACTAACATAAGTCAAAACTGAACGTCAACAGAAATCAGAATGACAAATTTTCAAAGCAAAATGTATTGAAAAAAAATGCACTTTCTTTTCAAAACAGAAATTCGCCTTCAGAAACAGCACAAATTAATTAAACTGGTCTCTTGAAAATCAAAGTCTTTCCGCTAAAAATTTATGCATGATAGTTCATCGTTTAGAACCTCAGAAAAACAAGCGGAAAATATCTTGATATAAATCGTGCAGCGTACTCTTCCCATCTATCTCGGCTTCTCAACGCCTGACTTCTCCTTGTGTTTGAAAAACAGATGCGACTTGAGACTGGAGTATTGACGGGCAGAGTAGGGGCAATGAGGACAAGGGAATGGCTTCTCCCCCGTGTGCACCATGTAGTGTCGTCGAAAGTCCTTCTTGTTATTGAATTCTTTAGGACATAACGGACAGGCGTATTGCATGCGAGGATCACTGACTTCGATGCGAGGGAGTTGGTCAAATGGAATAAAATCGCCAGACGCGGAAGAGAATTGTACGCGTCTGGGGATATTCATCGTGGTGGTGGTGCGGCTCACGCTTGATGGAAAAAATGAAGCGGCGAACGAAGATGATACATTGCAGGTAGAATTTTCGTCAGGCGTACGTAGACTCCTTTGAAAAGCCCAGTGCAGATACGAAGTGTTTTCCAGGGCAGCCACCTTTGCACAGAAAAGGTCTTCATTACCATGTGACACCGGACGGCCTTCTTCTACTTCATAACCAAAGGAAACATGGGGCAAATTAAACTAAACTAAAGTTAGGATTAATTCAAAACGAAACATATAACAAAGAACAAGAAAATTAACGGGATGATAAAAAATATCTCAGAAATAGAATGTAAAACTGAGAAATATAATAGCTTTCGATCAAGTTCCGAGTATAGTTCCTGGCAACATTTCGACTGCCATTTCTTGCTTG